ATAATTAAGACTATTCTCTTATTGCAATTACCTATATCCCAAGAAACAAACCTTTCGTTTTTCAGCCTGGAAAAGTGTAAATATTAAAAGAACCAAAAACTAAGGTTAGGTGCCGGCGAGAAGGACATAAAGTCGTAAATGTGTAGGTGATGAGACTCCGATTTACATTCCTTAAACTTTTGATGTGTTCTTACGCAACAAAAGTACCATTTCTGAGCTAAAGAATCTATTCTGAGCTATACGTTTGGTAGATTACTTTTTTTGAGTGTTACCCAAATTAATAGTTACCTATGGTTTTGCCTCGGCTTACTATTCGGTTATTTTCTTAGTTTTTCACGTAAATGCTAGTTTCAGTTTATCCTAACTCGTTTTTATCCATTTTCGCCCGTTTTTAGTGTACTGTTTTTTTACGGTCTTAGGCTTTTGCTATCATCTATAAAACAGTTTATGTCCATATAGTCATGAAAAACTCATGTAAGCGACCTGGATGCCGTTTTGCTGTTACATCTGGCATGCCGTCGGACAATTGCAAAGGTTGGGTCCAAGACACATGCACAGATCTCACAGCAGCTGCCTACAACAGACTCAGTAATCCTATCATAGGTGGGTATGCGTCATGTGCAACACGGGTGCTGAAGTTTTGCTGAGTAACACCGTTGTCCTATTAACAGGTCTGCGGAATAAGTTGTCAGCAAACTTGAAAAAAGACAGTCATAAAACGGGTAGACAAACAAGGGCGCCCAACGAAAACAGGAATAGGGATGTCGATAGGTTTACTGCCGATGGAGCATGCAATAACAATAGTGATGACGTACTGAAACCTAGCTTCATCATAACGTTGACGGTAATAGACTCCCTCAGCAGACTTGAGTCTCCAAGCATATGGTCCCTAAATGTAACGGTGGTTCCCAAAAATTCTGTAAGTGATCGGACCCCCGTTACCAAAGTACGAAGAACCAGACGTCACCGCCTAAGAAGCTGAACATCCCAAGTATTGTACTGAAATCAACTGGTGAATTGACCGCACATCTACTCCCAAAGATGTCCGTCAGGTCATCAAAGAGTCTAGGAATCAGACCTCCAAAAAACAAGGTGCTCAACCTGAACACCGGAAACCTGAAAAAACATTAACGGTTCGTGACGATTTTCTCATAATCATGAACCTTAAAGACAGCCCTGACCTTCCCCTCAGTTTGCAGTACATACATGACAGGACACTCTGGGAAGAGTTAAACAAGAAGCTTGAACTTTCCAGGATAGAGCCTTTGACGGTCACACGGCTCGCTCGGTGAAAGGACTCTAAGCATCAAAATCACTTCGTTTAACACTCAAACTACCGACATAGAGGATATCCTACTAGCTAGTCACTTAGTGAAATCGGTGGGAACGTAAGAATACTTCCTGACACCCAGTATCCTGAGCGCAATCTCATCTGGAACATCCCAAAGGAATCTCGCGAGATTTTCCGCAGAAGAAATGTCATTGTGCAAGGTTTACCGTAAAACACGTACACTGATCACACAAACTCTGATATTAGGGAATAGAGATTCATCAAGCAATCCTTGAAGCTCACAAACATGCTGACTCAACAAGTGATGAGACTAGCCAAGAAGGATAGATATTCTAGAACACTGCTGCAACTCTGAAAGCCTTTCATGCCAATAGATGTCGGTTACCAACCGGAATCCATATGCATCCGGATAGGCCACACGACGCCAGGACCAAGCACAAAGGCAAGTTGGAGGCGACTGTTCTACTTGTGGACTGAGAATATCATGAAGAGGCCGTAGAAAGGACAGGGGCTACCAGCTCGGAAAACTCTATGTAGGTAGACTACCTGTCCATTCACATAAGGCTCATACAGATTAACAAGACGAGGAAGCTCACGCTTTTCAAATCGAGAGCATAAACTGCTTATATATGAATGCCCCAAGCTTACCGAATAAGATGGATGAGCTGCGTGAACACAGTAGTTCTAATACTACTCATCTGATAGGAATATCTGAAATATGGATATCTTCTCAGTTTACAGCCCAGAAGCTAGCAATACCTGTGATGTCTTTGTTTCGCAACGACAGAAAAATAGGAATGGAGGCGAAGTAGCCTCACGCGTTCTTGTTTGGAAGAACATCAACTGTATAACCAAGAGTTTGTCAATCATGATGAATCCGTATGGTGCACAGTAAGATTATCTACCTCCTCGAGGTGTCTAGTTGGAGTCATCTATAGGAGGCCCACTGCCCACATCGAGTACGACAATCGCGTGCTGACAAGATTACCCCACTCTATTCGCCTCGGATTCACGCATATCCTGCTTCTAAGGGACTTCAACCTTCCTAAAGTCAATTTCATGGAACATACATATATTAGAGGTGAAAGTTCTACTGAAGCTCGGTTCTTCAACTTCATTAACGATCTACGAATATTCGAAAATGTGAAGTTGCAACTCGGAGAAACAGTCAGACGCCGTCGCGCTTAGACTGTATGTACAACGAAGAATTTCTAATTCAAAACCTCTCAATGATAGCTCTACTGGGGAGAAGCGATCACGTTGTCATAGCTTCTAGCTTTATCAGCAAAAGTTGGCTAAGACATCCCACCAACAAGCGTTGGAATTTCAAACGGTTGGATGTGTCAGCTTGACAGGACCATCTACAACAAGTGAATTAAGAAATTCACCCTCAACTTGCTGTGGTTGCTTATTGAGACTTATTACTGTACATGATTTTATGTGCTACAAAGCGGTCTGTTCCTCAAACGGTCACCAAAAGCCACAAGCGACCTACAGTCATCAAGAACCACATTCTTCGTTTGCTAGCCTCAAAAGGCACTGTTGTGCAGAATACAAACGGCGCATACACGCAACACAAACATATAAGTAACATATGCACAAAGGCAATAAGAGAAGACAGGCTTCAGTACCAGATAAAGTATATGGATAAATTTGTCTCCAATCCGAAGAGCTTATTCCGTTATGCAGCCTCTCTTCGTCAAGCCAAAACTGGAGTTTCCCAACTGCTAAGTCCAAGTGGAACAACCATTAACTACGGCGACGCCGCTAACCTTTTGGCTGAGCAATACTCTCGGATATTTCAACCGACCCACATCAACTATAATAATGAAAACTTCAACTGCAGCTGCACAGGACGTTCCGAAGTGAACTTGAGCTCTGAATTAGTGTTCCGGAAACTGCAGCACCTAAGAAAGGACACTTCTCTTGGCCCAGATATGGTTCATTCTGCTATACTGAGGAAAGCAGCCTTAATCCTGGCAACACCACTTAGCGTGATGTTCTTACACTCGCTAAGCTGAGGCAAACTACCGGAAATTTGGGGGCTGGTTCACATCACACCAATTTTCAAAGGAGGTCGACGCAGCAAACCTTCGAGTTACCGACCGGTGGCTCTTCTCTCTATACCTTCAAAAACCATGGAGTCCTTGATATGCGATGGTATACATGACTATTTACTGTCCTTAAATTTCTTCTCATCACAACAGCATGGTTTCAGGAAGGGTCACTCTTGTATAACCAACGTGCTCACTTTGGTGGACAGATGGACAAGCATCCTTGATCACAAGGGAAGGTTGATATCATCTACCTAGATTTCTCAAACGTTTTTGATAAGGTTAACCATACATGTCTTATCAATAAGCTCATACGATTCGGTATCAGACCACCTCTAATCGATTGGCTCACTTCATATCTGAAAATCGACATTTTAAGGTCAGGGTTAACTTCACTTTATCTCAGGCCGTGGAATGTCCTAGTGAGTTCCCCCAGGGCTCAATACTAGGACCTCTTCTCTTCTTGATTTATATAAATGATCTTCCTCAACAGTTATCGTCAGACTTATTACTTTTTGCCGACGACGTGAAACTTTGGAGAGGGATACGCAGTCAAAACGATATACAGGCACTTCAGGAGGATCTGACTCGACTCCAAAGTTGGGCAGACGATAACGGATTTACCTTTTACACTTCAAAGTGTAACGTAGTCCATCTGCGACACTTCACAGACTATAGTTACGACTTAAGAAACTCCTCTCTAGTAGTATCCCGAGTCTTCAACAGTTTCATTCGTCCCCGTTTAGAGTACGGAAACATAGAATTTCCTTCCTCGCTCCAAAAGGATAAGGACGCTCTGGAGCACACTCAAAGGCGAGCCACAAATTCAGTTCAGGGAATCAAATTCAAGTCCTATTAAAAGCGCCTCTAATCACTAAACCTTTACCCATTAGAATATAGGCGTCTTAAAAGTGAATTTCTAATGGCTTACAATATCCTGAACACTTCTAGACATCCTTTTAAATACCTATTTAAGTTCAGCTCCAACACAAACCTTAGGGGTAAAATCCAGAAACTAGAGACATAACAGAAAGGACTGTAGACACAACTTTTACCCTTAAGAGTTGTTAAATGCTAGGATTCGCTGCCAGCTGAGCTAGACCAAGCGACTTCCCAGGAGCCTTTTAAGAGGCAACTAGACCTATACTGAAGGACTAAGGATAATATCTTACCATGATTTACCAATTTCTTTTTCCTGCCTGTAGGTATTGGTGATCCATTGCTACCAGACACGAAAGCCCTTTGAGCGAAAGCTTCTATTCCGTCAACAATCATTTCAACCATTTGACTTTCCCATCGAACAATTAACGAATGGAATTAATTGTCTTAACATGTGATTAGATCTTCATCTGTCGAAGCCTTCAAAATAAAGTTGGATCAATTGAGAGACGACCATTTTCAGGACCAACACAGGCCATCTGACCTTCTGTACATTCCAAACTGAAACAGTTTGAAATAATATTCCACTTCTTTTTATCTTAAAAAATATTGAAAGTGATATTTCTCCACACATCTTTATAAGCTACTAACACCGATACATAAAATGGGTAACAGTGAGTTACTTATCTATTCGACCAAACTTGAAGTTTGAAGGTTACTGACAACTGAAACAAATATGTGCATTTTTGGCGGCTCTTACGAATCACCCGGTGAGTATGACAACTGGGGAGCCGTTGATTCGTCTATCCGAATATGGGAAGTCGTACACATGCTTAAACAATTGTAGAGATGAATATTATGACCGTTTACAGTTTCGGATTCAGAAACGTAATTCAGAATATTCGCACCACCCGTTTTTATGGGATGACTTGGAATGTCTCAGCTCTTCAACCTCAAACCTTAGTGTGCATGAAGACGTCGAAGACATCAGAAAAGATGTTTCGATCAAAACGCTCTCTGTTTCAGAGGACGGGTAATTGTTTGAATTGCTTCATTACATGTAATGATAGCCACCTAGATAACTCAGCAGAAGTTGAAGGTTTGGATGCGAGTTTGCTGACATTACATCTATATAGGCCCTCATGATTTTACACATGTAAATGAAAAGAATAACGCCGTTTCAACTACTGAAAGAACAGATGTCGGTACTCAAACTCAAAAACCACATCTAAAGGCTATAGTACAACCCAAAGCTTTTGTACCTTATGCTATCGGGAGTTCTGGTCCCACTTTGGGGGCTAGAAAGACTTTTAACGTCAAGTCAGACCGAGATGTAAGTGGACATTTTGATCCCTAGGTTCATTATCGCTACCTAAAGGCTGTGGATGTTCTGTCGTTACTGCCAAGTTTATCTTATCCCAATCCTATTACTAGATCATAAACAATTAGGTCCGGAAAATCAAATGCATTCAAGAGTTGATGTTTCTTTTTATTTGTGTGAACTTACGCAGATATTTTTGGCTTAGTGTCAAATTCAGAAACTATACAAATTCCACACTTCAATGAGCTAAAATGAAAAGTAATTTCACACCTACAAACTCTGAGCTGTTCATCATACCAACAACGTTATACATATTGTGCCCTTCGTCTGTAGTGCCGGATTTCGGTTGTCGGGGATTCCATTTCTCATTTTGGATTAACTTTTTAAATAATTAGTTGCATTGTAAATCTTAGGTATTGCCTTCCAGCCGTGTATACGTAGGTGGGAAAACTTTATGCGAATACTAAAATGTCACGGAAGTAGTTGGCAAATTAATCTTACAAGGAGTGCCACCTCGTCATTTATGTGCAAAATGTGGTCATTATAATTCTACCACTATGTTCATCAGTTTGCATGCCGGCTTATTATTTTGCAGTAAATGATTTAGGTAGTGTAGAATGTTGATGAAATATGTATAAGTTTGGATAGTTGTACCACTTCAAGACAGCAAAAGCAGGAAGTACAATAGCCGATGTTAAGTACCTATGAGTACTAATTTTATTTACTTTTTTGCCAGGTTTATCCTTCTGCTATACGTGCTGAGGCTCGCCGTAAAGAAAGGCTGATTAATTTTACGCATGCGAATACTGTAAACTCCAAAGTATCATCCAAAATATATGGGCCAAAACAGTGTATTGTAAAAAGTGAGGCAATTGAACCAAGTAAAACTGAAAAACCCGTTCCTACACTCCACAAATCAACTAGAGTGAGCAGTATGCCGCAACCATCTGGGTTGGGTGCTTCATATTCTCGCTCAAATAACAATATTGACTGGAAGCCAAAATACTCGTGGGTTTCGGAATATGTCCAAAAATATCCGTCTTATCCAACGTCAGTATATGTTCGCAGCGCATCTGTTGCTGCTGGTCGTTCTCGTCCACTCTGCTTCTCATACAGTCGACCATCATCCTCCTTTCTGGGGAGTTTAGTCCCATCTACACCAGTACTGTTGAGCTGTCGTGGATCGAATTCTACTCTAAGGAGTCGTAGTGAAACCCACTGTGATATTTGTTCTACATCAAATCTCAATCAAAAGTGCGCCCGCCCACTTCTTAGCGCTTACTAATAGCAGTCGTTTATTTTTGGCTGACTGGAGTCAGATTGTTAACCCGATTATCGTTTCTGACTGCGTGATACTGCATTCCTTCCGTTTTGTTCAATTCAGTTAGTACATATCATTCCTCCTACGCACGAAGTCATCTTAGTTTTCTTGAAATTATTATTTGGTATCATTATATGCCTCAAAGAATGTTTTGGCAAATACATACGTTTAATACGTTGTTCACTTTTGTTTGTAATACCTCATTACCACGATGTATGGTGTTTTTGTTTGATATTTGCTAGCTATTGGTCTGATGATTTATGTTTTCTTAAGGATTACTAATACATTTTAAAACAAATCGGGTTAACTAGCTACGAAGTTCGGTACTACTGAAAGGGCTTTCGACTTTTTGCTTCCAACTAGATATTGTTGACTGCCTAATTTATGGACACTTTGTATTACTTTTTATCGCTGATTTCAAGATTGTGTGGTTACTGTCTATGAGCCAAAGGAATTGATTGTAGGCAGTCATTCATGTCTCAGTCTATAGTTTTCTATAAATAGCATACCCGGATTTAGGTCTTTTCTAATTTTTGTGGCGTATTTGTCCCATCATTTCGTTTTTCAATCTGATGTGTTCTAAACTACTTTGTTTCATGGTAGAGCAGTTGCCTAGTGGTTAAGGTGTCCAAAGTTCGACTCCAACCCCATCTGTTTCGATCTAGGGAGTCAGACAGCGTCCTTAGTCCCCATACTTGGAGCGTAGTTCATGCCCCAGTACCTGGTTAATGAGTTTATCTAAATTTTTTTATTTGGTTTCGATTCTAATGATGCGGTTCATCTCATTTATTTATTTGAACACATGAACATAAGTACAATGGGGCATCAAATACGTATGCGCCACACAACAACAATGAGGTTGTGAAGAGATAGAGAGTGAAAAGTATGGTAAAAAGTAGAGCAACAATGAACAGAAGCTAGTGTATGAAAGTGAATAATAATAATGGAAGCAGTTCAGCTAGGAAATATACAACCAGAAGGGATTTCAATTAAAGAAGTCATGTTCACTTTTATGAAAAAAGTAGGAACCACAGCAGGATCGCCACTGGTTTCTATTCTGAGTCATATCTGATAACATCTCTAGTCACCGTGTTGCACCATCTCTTGGGCCCCAACTAGGGAGTAGTGAAGGACCAACGAAAGCCAGTCCTATACAGTTTTCTTTCATACCATGAAATCATGTCATACACTGACCACCTCTCCTCTATTTCCAACCAGTCCCAGTGTCGGCAAGTAATGCACGACGTGAGATTTACTGGGACGACATTCGTAAGGCATGTCCAAGCCACCGACGTCGATGTTTGAAAATGGTGAAAGCAACTGGATTATTGTCGCTAGTCTGAACACAAGATTCCGAACCTGTTCATTACTAATATGGTGTTGTCACTGGATGTCACCAATCCCTCAGAGACAACGATAGTCAAACACAGAGAATCGTTTAACATGCTCAACTCGGAGAGGCCAGGTTTCACAAGCATACAGCAAACCTGCTCTCACCAATGCGTTGTAGATCCGACCTTTTACAGCCAGACTAACAGCACGAAGGTGCCAAAGATGACCCAGATTGGCATGAGCCGCTCTGGCTCTCACTATACGTGAATCGATCTCATCACTCACGCCACCACCAGCACTTATGCAGCCACTCAAATACTCAGACCTCCTGACTACTACCTGCCCACTACTCAATGTGAGTGCAGGTTCAGGGTTTTGCCAGTCCTGTAGAACTACTTTGCACTTGTAAGGCTCAAAGCACATACTATACCTACGGACGCTGATTGCCTGCTGACTAAGTGTGGATTGCACGGCTTGGGTATTATAACACAGTAAGACAATATCATCCTCATATTCAAGGTCGAAAAGTTTCTCCAGGAAACAGATCCACACCTACATTATCTACAGTCATCAGAGCTGTTTCGGGAATGTGATCGATGGCAAAGTTGTAGAGGGATGGTGAGTTGTAAGGAACCTGTAGAAACCTAGTGCTTATAAGCAGGACATTTCGCAAAGCTGCAGGCGACTTCACTTGCCATTTTCATGACTTCATGCAACAACAGCCAATACTCGTTTATGCTGTTCGGTGGCCTGGTAGCTAGTGTTGAACCTAGCTCGTTTTGATATTTAGTCGCAAGAGAAGCTGCAACCAATTTACTGGCATCGATCCGTTTAGGACGATAGATTTATTGGCCATTAAGACTTAAGGTAAGATAAGCGCAAATAAGGGGACGATCAGAGTCCAGATAGGTGCTCATAGGAATGACAGTTTTGTAGACAACCACGTCTGCAGTAGCTGGTCTTGATGTGACCAAACGGAGTCCGGGCTTAAGATGCAGAGGGAGGACGCCAGGTGGCACATCGGCGATGACTTCTCTGGTAGTTACTGCTACCCAGAAACAGGTTGCAGTCTGCGCAAAGTTGCAGTAGATAGTCACTGTTATCTGACCTGCGACCAACAAGTCGTCATCAGCTACCTAGATGACTCTCTTCTGTACCTAGACACCCGATCTAATCATTCAAGTCTCCGATTGGTACTACAATATCTGTCGAACGTACGTTCTCTAGAAGAACAGTTAACTAGTGGTAAGACTCATCCTTGATCGCATCTGGACCTCAATCTTCTGGAACGTAGGCGGTGATTGCAAAATGACGTCGTTTCTCACGCCAATTTCCCCTAACTTTAATGGAGCTTTCTAATCTAACAGCAAATAACCGACTGTTAATGCGGTTCAGTCGATCAGTGTTGCCTTAACTCTAGCAAGACCAGACAAAGGTGCCACAGGGTCCCCGGATAAACGCACGTCAAACAAGCCTTTTGAAGCGACAAATGGAGAGCGGATTTCCTGCAGTTCACTATAGTCTTGAATACGGTTCTCGGATAGACAACAGACATCGATGTTGAGACTTCTTAAAGACATTACCAACTCTACCTGTTGTCCAATCTGCATTAGTGTGCGAACGTTGAAGGAGCCCAGTTTGAATGGTATACGTGGTTTTAGATGGACTGTTTGAGTATTCGATGGTAGCATTCAGCTTTCCATCAGTCAGTGACTTGAAATTGTTCAGATAGGACAGGGTTTCCACCATAGGCGAGCCTCTGCATAGTTGTAAATAAAATAAAAGGGGGACGATAAGTGACGTATAAAAGAAAGAAAAATGGGTGTTATCAAATGATTGTGAATACGATTTGTCCTAATGAGCGTTGAAGCAAGAATAATTATTACAGTATTAATCATTTAATTTGTTTATGGGCTGGAATACTGCCCGAGTAACCAAACTGAAGCTGGTAGTTTTCTTAAAGGGCCATGCAGTGAGTTTTTTACTTAAAGGTCTAATCCACAAGGCAGTGGAACAGTGTTAGGAGATGTAGCCTCATTGTAACCGGTGAATAACAATAGGTTCGCACACCATTTGTTCTTACAGGATCTTGGAGTCCATGTGCCCCACTGGTATGGAATCAGCTTTCCAAATCCCCTAGGTAGATCCTCCGTATCCACCAAGCCAGTTAAAGCTCCAGAAAATCGCTTTTCGTCCTTTTATTTCCGTAAACAATAACGCCGCGAGAATGCAGTGAGTAGGACTTCAGTGGCAATATACTTGAGGCGATGTGAGAGCATTTTGAAACAGAGCGAGCTCTCCGCACATTCAGCTGTACCAGTACGTTTTGAGGTGCGTTATTCAGTTGTAGCTATTATTAAGCGCCGAAGATCTTTATTGCGTTGTATCTCGGACTTTACAGTTCCGTTTATTGGTAAGGTCTTCCAAATCATTTTGTGATTTCTGTTCAGTTCCCCTCTATATTTGTATGCATCATGTACCAATTAATTTCAAGCATTAGGATCTAGTGGCATTTTCGGTGCAAAAGTCCGTCCAGTATGTTCACTTGTATTAAGCTCGGTATATGAAACAATGATTTGTTTTTTGATACAATTTACAAGCCCTAGACGTCTCATTAATGTGAATTATGGTGTAAATTTTCAATTATAATCAAAGCACAAGCATTAAATTCATAGTCATTAAATAACAGGTTATGCTCACTGTTTAATTTTCTAAATTGATCAGATCTTTTTTTCCTGGAAGATGCTTAGGTTTAAACAATGATTAACAGGAAGCGCTCATACTCATCACGTTCCCGTTCCAGGTCATCAGGATTCTATACACCAAGACGAAAAAACCGGTCCAGGTCAGTAATATTTTTCACTAATGAAATGTTGAGAATTTTCTTCTTTAATTTTTCTCCTGCTGGATCCTTTTAATTAAATCGTGGGTTGTAACTGCTTATGACAAGCTTCTACCCAGATTTTTGTTAGTAAGTCAGTAAGATTTACTTGAGTTTCTTGATTATTTCTATCCGGTGTGCATTATGCTCACATTTATCTAACTGTAATTACGCTTCGTTTAATAAGGATAAGTAGAATTGTCTAATGGAATGCGTTTGAACTACTTTTACAAATAGCTTTAATAATTACTTTTTCAACCACGCACCTACTATCTTAATGAAGTGTTCTAAAGTCGATCGCACGTAAAATAATCATGATTCCACTGTATATTTTGTGGAAATCCGTTTCCGCTCCGATAGATTTCTAGCGCGATGGTTAAGGCCGGGAATCAAGTAAAACTTCAGATGTTTGAAATAAAATTGACTCAACTCTGTATTGTTGTTAATAGATAAATAACATTAGGAACTAGGTGTACTTAATAAATTTTCTATCATGTAAGCGCTTCTGGGTCACGCTTTATCTTTTTAGTGTAATGAAAACTTATTCACAGTAAAACAATGACCAACTCTTTTACGTTTAGTATAGAAATTAAACGATCGAGGTAATAAATTTGACTTTTATTATTACATACTGTCCCAAATGATCTGTAAACTGTAATTTGTGCCTCGAAATCCCTTGCCCAAACGTTCCTGTCATACTCTTTGAAAAAGTACAAATATGGCAAAGAAGCATTTCTCAATTACTTTTTCGTCATGGCTCCACATTATGTTTTTGCTGGTGAACCACGTTTCATTACTTATATATATACTGTCTTATTTTTATTAACAATATACATCGTCACCAAAAATGGTTAGTTTGCGATAGTTGCATGCATAAAACCTATTTTCAGTCAGTCATGATCAACGTACGACCTGGCCCAAATGTATGTTGACCCAAGTTATCGCAACACGATATCACAAGGAGATAAAACTAACATAACGGACAGTAAAGGAGTTAAGATAATTTAGTTGCACTGGTTAAAATGATTAGATCCTGGGAATATGGTTCAACAAGAAATAAAGGATATGTTTGAAGGAATAACATAAGATCCAGAGCAAAATAAAGAGTGGATGACTCCGGGCCATGTAACTCAAAGTTTCTAATCATCGTTACAAAACTCATGCGGTCCCTTACCAAGTATGCAGTCCGTACCCGCTTACACGACTCAGCTCAATAGTCAACAACTTCATAAACTGATGCCAAATTTTGATTTGGCCATCCCTAACTTTCTAACTTAATCCTATGCCAGCCAACAGTGCCCATCGATGCAGGCGATCTCTAGGAATATGTAACACATGTCTCACCCACCTCACTTAATGAAGGTTCAAAACCTTATCAACCGACTTGTCATTTTTACCTAACCTCAGTTCATCCATATCATAACATGCGCGAGCACTGCTTCAAAACCAACTGTGGTCAAATACTAACAAGAATAACGTTACCAAAATTTGATTTTTATGAAAACTAATTCTATTAAAATTAACATTTTATTAATAATGCCCAACTATTACAAAACATAATCGTTATTTCGTTTTAGATCCAATGAACGCTCTAAGTTCAGTTCTTCGTTGAAAGAAAGGTATATGGTCGCTAAATAACCTGACTTTTTGCATCAATAGTGTATTTAATCTACTTATTGGTTTGAAATATTTTTTGTTTGTATGGTTTTCTCCATTTTGGGACAGAGTACCTAGTATTTATAAGTAGTGTGAGATGTATAACGCGCTGAATAGTGTCCCTTAGTTCAGACGGATCCTCTATTATATTCATTTTTCATTGTTTTCATGTGCTAATTTATCGTTCTACTCATAGCTGTTTCTCTCCCTCTTCTCGTTCAGTCTCTGTAAACTCATTTCATTTTAAAGCTTTTTATCTAGAAAAACAATTGTCATTTTTGTAGTGTATCAGCCAATTTATTTTCGTTAACTACTGATATTCACTCTAGATAAGCCATATGCTGTTTCTTGATTTTTTCTGGCGAATTCGTTCTTATTTATATAAACATAATATAAACATTAGTTTACCTTTCTCATGGATTTAAGCCCAAAATCAACCTTTATTTAAATCTAAACAACCTATTAGTATCGCCGCTTGTTGATTGATGCAGACCTTGATTTACATCCGAGAAATAAATTTTCCATACTTATTTCCAGAAAATTATGAAAATGGAGTCATCATTGAAAAAAGTGATAGTTAAGTAAAATGAAGTAGTTCAATGTATATAGATCTAGCATTTTTAAATCTTAAAGTTACTCATTATTTTATCCACCGTTTTCATATCTTTCAGAAATCGACAGAGGTCACATTCAAAAAATCTTGACTACAGTCCTCGACGTTCTTTAAGTCCTGCTGAGCGAAGTAAGAATTTAACATTTACTAGGTCTATCTCATTATTTTCTTTAGAGTCGAAGTTTTCAAGGCTTAGAAAACCTGAAATACAATCAAGTGTTAATCCAATCGCTGACTTTCAGACTGAAGGTGTACGAAGCACTGCACGTGATTCACATTCTCCTATATCTTTAACAGAACGTTTCACTCGTCTGACAAATTCAGGGACGGCTGTATACAATAAACGCAGGTATGGTCGTTTTGGAGATAACCATCGTCTTCCACATCTTATACTTACCAATAATACAAAGCTCCCCCCAGCAACTCTTATGCGTCAGGCTAAAGAAATTTCAATTGTCATAGAGCGAACATTTCCTCTTAGTAAGTTTTTGTCTCCTGATATCGACTATATGACTAGAAATTGCTTTTGACGGATTTTTTCGTAATAATAGAGTTTTCATCCGATCGATTCATAATTTTGAGAAAATGAAAATGTAAAAAAATTCTGTTAATAACTTTCTTCATCTAATACATTAACTTTACTTCAAAATAAAGAATATAATCTTTTATTGTGGAAATTTCCCTACTTAAAATTCGATGATGAATCTATAAAACACTTGTCCGGACATATAATCCGTAACTCATGTGTTACCAAGGTTTGATCGGCCAGGTAGTATTATTAGAGAGTGAAGTATTTGAACGCATTGACCGCTTCACTTATATTGGAAGTTTCAGTCTTGATGATCTGGTATTTGAAGAAATCTCGGCACGGATTTAGAAGTCTCAGTTGACTTTTGCTAACTTGTGACTTGGGCGAGACATCAGTCGTCCAAACAAAGGACAGATTTAATGCGCAGCAGTTCACTCCGTTCTACTTTATGGATGTGAAACGTGATCATTAAGAATAGATGGTATACGTAGGTTACTGGTATTCGATAATAGGTGTCTACAAAAGATTACTAATGTATTTCGGATCCACTGATTAAGCGATGCCGAGGTCAGGAAAAGGGCGCTAGGTAAGGATAACAGATCGACTGAAGAAGTAGCACATCCTCATTAACTGAGGTGGTTGAGAAGTGTTACGTATATCCCACCACCGCCTACCTCGACGGGTGATGTTTTCTGGTGCAGGCGCAGGCTGGAAGAAAGCTAAGTACGGTCAAACCAAAACATGGCACTAGTCCATGAAATCACTGACGATTGTACTTGGTAATGTAAATAAGTGTAGATTACCTGATTAGGGTCCACGTGATTATCGTAACCAGTGGTTAGAGACTTTGAATGACATGACTCAAAATCGTTTGGAACGACTCAGGTACATCCATTCTTTGTGGTTAACACATGAGCGCATCTTCGTGCTAATGAAGTATGACAACTTGAACCGGAGTACACATGAGCCAGGTTCTACTCTGTGTTTGACTGACTGACTTGTTCCATTTATTAGTATTGTAAAAGAAAACTAGTTGATTTCAAGCTCTTCTATCTATTCACTGATGCAGGAAAACTGATTTTACTTTTAATTTCCTTTTCAATACTATTTGTTAATGTCTATAGACGGAAAAAGTCTTGCAGATTACAAATAATCTGTAATATTTTATTAACAGATCTCCACATCACTACGTCGTCCCTAAGCAACACAAATTATGTTATTTCCAATGCACAAATCTCTAATTGATGAAAATGGTTCATTGTTTTAAGAGTCTGTCGGTTGATAACTTAATCGATTTCTAGTAACATGACGTGCTATGCACGATTGGAATTTCTAGACAGAGAGGGAGAATATATTTATACACAATACATGGATTTACAGATTATGCAACTAAATGACTAAGTCATTTTTCACCAGAATTACTACTGCTCCTATCACGTTATTTGTTTGGTTTAATTTAATGCAACGAACATGTAATCCATGCTTTACTATTATTATTATTATTATTATTATTATTATTATTATTATTATTATTATTATTATTATTATTATTATTATTATTATTATTAACATAAATTTCTAATCTTTGAAGTCTCAATGGCACATTGAATCATTAACAGTATTAGCTATTGCCACCCGACAGTTACTTTGACGTGGCGGTCGGGTTTGCCTATCGTGATGAACCAATCGAGCTATATTGGTTGGAACAATCGTTTCTCAAGGTCCTACCATGCTAAGACAGGTCGGTTGAAGAGCGGTAAGACTAAAAGCAGCAAGACCAAGGTCCGAGAGCGAAGTTGTACTGCTAACTGTACAGAGGTGTGCTAGCAGTGTGGTGTTTCTTTTAGACAATCAGCATAATAGCGATGCTGCACTCCCACAAAGGAAGGATGGGATTAGAAAAGGTTGACCCTAAAAATGCACATCTCACTTTATCTTACATATATCCGTCTCCGGAAGTAAGTTCTCAACATGTATGGAGCTAACACAAAAATTACCCACAAAATGGTCGTGTGTGGCCGATCTCTAGCACTTGTCTCTTGGGCACTGCGGTCACACTATCAGGTCACTAAGACCAACCCTAACCCAATTTCATTTTTGGGTACCTCTAGAAGAACCCTTCCATGGTGTGGGAAACCGGGAAGTGATAACTGCCCTCATAACCGTAACAGCACTCAAGGTCACTATTTATTGCCAGAAATTGCTTCGCAGTTTATGTTTTTAAACTATTAGTTTCTTCTGACCCCTTAACGAATTTGGTTTTATTTCATAAGTATGTATTTATTATTTCAATAATAGTTGGCTATTTAAAAAAAATATTTTATTCTTGATAGATATGGACTTATCAACACATGAAAAACCTGTGACATTTGATTTTCGTCATAGTCACATTGTAATCCCACGTCGTCCCAATGAAGGTTACAAACCTATATTTGATCGTCCTGGAGTAAGTGTTTTTTAGATTGCTTTATGTTATCATATGTAAGATGCTTTAATACTATTGTAGTATATATTTAATTTCGTGTCATGCTATTGAAAGTGACCGACAAAATGTTATCATGCTGTCTCATTCTCGTTGACATTTTGTTATGGGATCTCAAACATTCTTAGATATTCACTTTTGCCTGGTCTATCAGCACAATCACATTTTACCACTTAGCTATTCATTAATCAAAAATAATAAGTTTGTTCCCTATTCTTTCTACATCACTGGTTCGTTATATAAGGAATAAGAAAAAACATTGTAAAATCTGCAAGCATCTGATGCATAACCCGAGGGTTCGCGCAACCAGTTATTGTCTATAGCGATTTCACAGTCATTGTTGATTAGAGCTAATTCAGTTATTATAACCTCATGTCAACTTTTGTTGCTTTGTGTCTGTGTTAAGAATTCGTGAGATGTTAATAATACAAGAACGAATTTGACACGACTATTACAAAGCGACAAATTGTAATTCAGTGGTGCGTTATCTTATTCAAAAATGGGTAAATAAAACTAGTTTTCAGGGTGAGCTTTGTTTAACTTAGGAAAAAGCGTACACAACATATAAACAAACATTTTTTGATATGTTCTATTTATAGAGATAATCATACATATAATTCAAACATGTTAAAAATACTTAGTGTCAACGATCTTTTCAGCCATAATTCAGTTTGTTGCGAAAAGTTAGTTTAAATAAAAGTATACACATATTATGGTGGCCTCATCTTTGCTGATTGTTCTATATAGTGTAGTGGAGATTCTGACCACTTCGTACAACTAATTCTTTGCTTACTAGGTGAAATTACTCAAACTTCAATTACATTTTTTGTAATCAATCGAAACTACTTTTTGTGTTATGATTTTATCAGTTATATCAGAACTGTTCTAGTTTAACAAGGTTGTTTTTAAATTTAAAATTTATTTAGATGATGTGAAAACCACGTATTGGTTTTTCATCTTTTCGCCTACTGTGTTTAAATACAAATACATTCTTGAATATGAGTACTGCTACCTAGATTTTATAGGGGTTTCTTTATTTCTAACTGTCAACTGATATAAGCATATATATGTATGGGTATGTAGTAAATCAAACTTCTATAGATCCCTAAACACAAACTCATTATTTGGCTATCTGGAGAGTAGTTCTTGACCCTGTCTGTCGTAAAATCTCATGTTGGTGTTCGATGCAAAAAATATGAATCTGCGAATACATAATGTCACTGAAGGCGCCCCATGCGAAAACCGAGGTATTATCAGTGGATCACAGATTTTCGTTGAAAGAAACATCCAGAAGGTGTTCTTTCTCAGTTCGTGTCCGACTCCGTTATTAATATGGTTCGAGAGGTGATAGTTACGGTTTCCTGGATGTTGAATCCTGTTCAGAAATCTTTATTGTCTTTGAGTATTCAGACTCCATATGTAAAGACAGGTTTCTCAACATTTTGTATACGGGGATTAAAATATGTAAACTGTTTACAATCAAATGCGAAGCTCTTTCTGAAATGGTTTGTGTCATTGATTAGTTGAACAACAACGCGGAAACTGGCTTTCAGTGTCGACCACTCTTGTTTATCTTTTTTAGTCGATTTTTGACTGCCAAAACTCTTCAAAGAAAGAACCAATTTTAATTTATACTAATACTGTAGTGCATATACAGCATACAGTATCTAACTATTCTGGTTTGCTTATTGCTCATTATAGCTATTAGAATACACAAATATGGTAACGGTGCTGAATCTCAAATATCTTCAAACTATAATCTGTGTATCATAAAACTTTTTTGGGTAGTATCTATCCACTCTCACTTCCGGATGTTAGGTATTTATTTAAGAACGTGAATTCCTATTCTATTTAAAACCGAATATTTATCGTGCTCCTAAAACTGCCGTGTAAATATTTTAGATGGTATTTATCGTCTCTCACCACGTGATAAGCAGGTCAAGTTAGTGTAGTACACAATTTCTTTGTCATTTTTCTCTAATTGTACTGGAAAAAACCTCAGTTATCTTGACCCGCTAAATCATTTTTTCTTTTACAGTTAAAGTTTTACAATACTGAAGCGGATGAAGTTCAGATTTACAAACGTTTAGTGGACACGATTTCCTCCTCAAATACACGGTGTGTTGTAACTATTATTCTACTCATCGTTATCCTGATATATCATTTTATGCAGCATTCAGTAATAAAGTTTTACTTGTGCAAATAACAGTAGACGTGTCAATTGATTGTGTTGTATACATAACGTAAAAATAATGTGTTTTGCCATCTTGAAATGCTGCAGAACTTTTGTATCAGTCAGTTAGTCAGTCAGTTACAACGTGGAACTTCGTACGTACGTACATCAGTTCGAGTTGCCATACCATACTAACACACAGATACAATTGTCGATTCAAATCCCATAGTGATAGAGGTAGTGAAAGTATAGGCAGTAATCGGAAAGATTAGGATTTGAAGATGTTATTCAAGGAGTATAATCTAGTGAAATAAATTTGGAAAGAAAAAAAAGAAGGGAACATGAAGGATTCAGAAGATTAGAATTCGGGAGAACTTTTGTATGAAACATATCGATTCACCTTTACTAATAAACATGGTTATAGTGCAGCTTCGTATGTCGTAATTTGTTCACGGGTACTGTATTTTGTGTTTGGTTGTGAATGACTGATATACCTGATAAGCTATTGTATATTTTCGCTTCTAATTATATATGATAGCTTTAAAAGTCAAGTTATACACTTAAACAATTCTAGTTATAATTAATCGAGTTTGATTATACAGAGACTTTTCTGTTTATATGTTTAAAAAAAGCATCTCTGGCAGGTCCCCTTATAAAAAAAGATGTATTGAGTTCCAGTTTGTCCTAAGTTAGCAGTTTGTTAATACAATACGTTTAATTCATAGTCATACACTATTTTTATCAATATGTTGTTAGGCAGTTAAAATGTAAACTATTTTCATTCTGTTCTGTTTGGTGATATTAGAAGATCCAATAATATGGACAACAAAAAAGAAAGTGAGTATCACGACATAAGTCATTTTACAGGTCCCGGTCGATTTTATGGCAGTCGAGTAGATGAACGTTTGATGGATTCAAAGCGTAGTGAGTAATTTAATTATTTTAATGTTTTGAATCCTGTGAAACATTTACTGTAAATTTCATTCTCTCAGCCGACTAAACTGTGTTTCATGAGGTATCGCTATAGTGTTAGTTTTAATTTTCATTAAGTCATAAGATAGAACCCCATCATTTGAACCATGTAATCTGAACGCTATCAGTCAACTACTTGCGTTACTCTTTACATCATAGATTTGGCTTCACCTTAATCATATTTGCTTGTGATTATTAACGTATATTTTAGCGTTTATGTATTCAAATAAATATTTGTACTATATAGTATTGCTGCTTTGATTATTAAGAGTCGATTCCCATCGAGTGGTTAACTACTTTTATTAAATTTTTAGAAATTCAAACTGTATTATCTGTAGTTCCTTTTCATGTATTGATTAGAAATAAAATGTTTTGCGGATGTAGCCTAAACTTATCACTTATCAACTTTCCCATTAGTAGTTTTAAAGCTGATGATATATATTCCTGTCAGTTAGTCAAACACAGCGTAGAACCTGGCTCATGTGTACATCGGTTCAAGTTCTCATACTTCATTATCACAGAGAGATGAAATTGTTAGGCCAAATCTCAGAATAGTAAAAGTAGTAACAGTATCAGTGGTAATAAGAAAGATTAAGCATCGAAAGTACAATTCGAGAAGAAAATATAAATTAATGAAATAATTGGAAAAAATTACAAAGAATTTAGGAACCTAGGATTTAAGGGATAACAAAAAACGAATGTACCTGCTCCATTGCATGTTTTCTTCTACAAACTGGGAATAGGAAGTAACATTTTGTACCACTCATAATAATAAATTTGAATCAGTAAACGCACTCATACTTAGACACTGATCAGAAATGTATGGATTCAGTGAGATGAATTGTAGTAGTATTAACTTTGTATTCAGAATACCAAGACCACTATGCAGGCGATAATAAATTGAATTGGAAACTTTGTACTATTTGGTCCCTTTATTAATTAAATTTGGGATATCAGTAAATTTAATGTATGAGGTAAACCTGTAATCGAGTAAATACATTGTTCAGATTTAATGCAGTCTGATAGACATTCAAGCAGCAGTCAAAGCGGTACATGGTAGTTCATGGTTATGAGATTAAGTGCACAAAATAACGTTGCCATATATACTCACTGGACATTCCTGTTGTGCATTTTGATCTATTCATTCCCCGAATGCATCAGAATTGCTGTACAATGAGTTAGATATTCCTCAGTGATTAACACAATTTTTTAATATAACGGTGAAATGTACTTATTGTTGATCGCTGCATGCTCAACACTGTTTATAAAAGATTTTTTCCTTTAATACCCTATCAAAGGTCATGTCTTTATAGAAAACAAAGTGTTTTGTTATGAAGTTGCATTCAATTATTTCCAGTTTTATATTCTTTTGTCATTGGCGTGATCTCTTTGGAGCTATGCCTAAATAATCTTCTGACAACCATTATCGTTTGTCGCGTCAAATCTCGTCGTAAATGTTGGAATTTAATTTCTTTGTGTGGCAAATTATCCATAAGATAGTTGAGAACTAGTCATTTAAAATTTCCTTAAATAAGCTATTATCTCAGCATGCATGCAAGCTCCAGAACAACTTTAATTTAGCCCGTAAAAGCGATGGCTTGATATTTAAGCAATTCCAACGACCAGGTTGCAGGTTCCAAACTGACTCACCCTTTTTTCGGAAACAAATTCATTTTATTAGGCATCGCATAAGTAACATTATTTTGACTCATCTACGATTCGTCTCGTGCTTATTTGATATGGAAACTAAGGTTAATGCACACATTTCTCAGGCTCCACGTTGATTATGATTGATAAAAGTAGTGTGGCTCAAACTCAGTTACATGTCTTTACTTGTTAGATGAGTTACACATTCCTTCAAATGTAATTATGATATATTCAAGTATAAATTTTCTGTTTTTGAAAATGCAAATCACCGCGAAATTGTTGTGAACACTAGTAGCCGCCAAAATCCTTCATATACATGTATATGTATGAATATTAAAATATTATTTTTTCCAAAAGCTTATCCGTTGGATCCTTCAGAAACTCCGAAAGGACATTCTTATTATCTTGTGAGTTTTCACTGTCTATCATTTGTTTTGTTAATTAAATATTTTTCAATTTTTAGGCCTTACGTTAAAATGTCTTCAGCTTTAATTCGTTGATTCTGTAGATAACCTAGTTTTTCCTAAAGTGTAATTAGAAAAAAAACAGACTTAATTGGGTAGTAACAAATCAACATTCGAGCTCATTAAGGAAGTGATGGCGTAAGAAGGTAAATAAATTTTAAGCGAACTGTCTTATATGGCAAGAAAAAAAAACATATAAAGCGACATATTTACACATTCAACACCCCTCAAACAGCATATACCAAAACGAACCATCTTAAGTCTTCTACGATCTGTCAGACAAGCGAATCGAATTGAGCAACCCAATTATTAGAAACCAATTGAATGAAACGAACAGTTTAATTTTCCCATCCCTAAAGAGAAGCTGTTATGAATTTTTCTGCTGAATTTATTGTTCGACCCTTCGTTGTCTCTTAATAATCTTTATCAGTATAGGTTGTGGGAAATGTTGGATTTCATTGAAATCACAACTGAAGATGTCGCGCACCACCGTAGAAATGGTTGAAGTCAGAGTTGTACACCATAGATTGTTGGCTCAGTGGTCTAAAAGTTAGACGTTCCCGTGCGAGACCACGGGTCTTGTGTTCAAGTTCCGGTTATGGGTGCTCATTACTGAGGAGTCCCGTACTAGGAGAACAGTCGTTCAGTGTTCATAGGCTTTCAATGACTCACTTGAATCGGTTCGTGATTTCTGTGAAATAATCTTTATGTTTGAAAACTACAACCAAATACTAGTATTTGTTTATCTGTCCTTTGATTCGCTTTACTGATTGAATAAATTGGAATTTGATTATGTGGTTCAAACCTTCATATTCGTTATTATTAGCGCAGAAAGCAAACTCAAACTATGTTTTTAGGGAATTTCTTGTTTAGTCAACCGACTTTACCAACAGTTCTACTTAATAAGTATCTTTCATATCAAGTTCTGTGTGAGTAAAAAGAAACGATTTGTTATATTCATACAGATCATAACAGCCTTCATTTTTTCCTATATGAATAACAAGTAGTCAGCTATCCTAGTTGTATTACCTCATACTTTTTTTATTCAAAATTCTTTTCAGGATAAGTAGATGTATTAAGACAACGATTTTTGAAAGCGCTTGCTAAATATCATTAAGTCATGATTGCCTCAGCATTTTTGAAGTCAACGACATATAATTACACACATGTTGTACTCTACTATTAGAATGGATCCCCGTTAACAGACGTCTATGCGCTGTTTGGCTTAACGGCTCTGTAAGATCTCGAAAGGGCAGGGACACACGTCGTCGCCTTTTCGTCGTTTCTGCCTACGCTCCCACTGACTGCAGCTCGGACGAAGTGAAAGATGAATTTTACAGAAAGCCAAACGCTCAGACAAAGTACTCGTAGCAGGTGACTTTAATGCCCAAGTAGGTAGCTTAAACCAAACAGAAAGACATTTAGGTGAGTATTTTGGCATCCCGGCTCAGCGAACAGATAATGGTGATCGTCTGCTGCAACTGTGCTCAGACAATCGCATATTTTTAGTAAACACTAATTTTAAACATAAGGAGAGACATCGTCTAACATGGCGACCCTCGACACCAATCCAACGATGGACTCAAATAGACCACATTGCCATCAGTCATCGTTGGAAAGGGTCGATAGAATGTTGTCGCTTTCTGGAGTACCTGTTTGGACTCCAACCATGCTCTAACACGGCACGCATCTGCAAGTGCCCCACTGGACGCAGAAAAGCTACACTAAAAAGACCCATTGGAATTGAATTGAGTGACGAGGAAATCGAAAGTAGGTTCCAGGAACAACTGAGGCCACACTTAGGTAGTTTTGAAAACGAGGCTGACCCAGATGTTGCTTGGAAAGATATCCAAGCAGCTGTGGAAACAGCAGTGACATCTATCAGTGATTTAAACCAAAGGGTTACAAAAAACCAATGAATTGCTTCTAGGTTGATTCTCGTAAACTCATCCCATCAGGCTCTGAATACGAAGAAGAGCGAAAACAAACCAGATCTAGGTTAAGCAAAAGTCTAAGAAACGACCGTGAGCAGTGGTGGGCAACGAAAGCAAAAGAGATGGGAAAGGCGGCGACTATAGGGAACACAAGACAGCTTTAGAGACTAATAAAAGAAACTGGAATTAATAAGTCAAGTGTAAGTGAGATTATTTCGGAGAAAGACAATACTCTCATCTGCTCCCAGCCCAGACGTTTAGAACGATGGGCGGAACATTTCAGAGAACAGTTCAGCTACTTTACAACTACCCTCCATTCCCAGACAGTGTGAATGGAACATTGAAGTAGGTCCCCCAACTCTAGCAGAAGTTCAAAAGGCTATAGTTAATCTGAAACGAGGAAGGGCAGCTGGTCCAGATGGATTGGCTCCAGAGGTCTTTAAGGATGGTGGTCCAATTTTAGTGATTAGGTTGACTAATATTTTAGCTAAGATCTGGGAGTTAGACGTTATCCCATCTGACTGGTCACAATCACTTATCGTCCCAATATATAAGAAAGGGTCAAAATCATCCTGTGACAACCATAGAGGGATTAGTTTAACTAATATAGTATCTAAAATACTAGCCTCGATAATTATCGGACGCCTAACTAAGACTCGTGAACTGCAAACACGAGAGAATCAAGCTGGCTTCAGACCTGGTCGTGGCTGCATCGACCACATATTCACCATTCGTCAGGTTCTAGAACACAGGCATACTTATCGGCGTCCGACAATGGTGGTCTTTCTTGACTTAAAAGCAGCATTTGACTCTGTAGACCGCGAGATTCTGTGGCAGTGTCTGTCATTGAAAGGCGTACCTCAGAAGTACATAAACCTTGTAAAGGCTCTTTACTCGAACACTACTAGTCAAGTCAGAGCTTATGGCGAACTGTCACCTGTTTTTGCAACCTCAAGTGGTGTCCGTCAAGGCTGTCCACTTTCCCCATTTTTGTTTAACTTCATCATAGACCTATTGATGGAAATAACATTCTCGTCGACTGAATTCTTCTTCCAGGAGGTCCACTTATCGACTTAGAATACGCAGATGACATAGTCCTGTTTGGTGAAGACGCTGATAAAATGCGGTCTTCTGGTAGCACTGAGCAACAATGCCAGAGTGATTGGGATGCGCTTCTCTCCCTCTAAATGCAAGTTGTTGCTCCAGGACTGGCCTGTGTCAACACTTGAACTAAGGATAGGGGGTGAAGTAGTCGAACGCGTCGACAACTTCACTTATCTTGGAAGTCTGATCTGCTCAAATAAGTTGGTGTCTAGTGAAATCTCTGCATGGAATCAGAAAGCTCGTTTGACTTTCGCCAACGTACGTCACCACCTATGGCGAAGGCGAGATATCCGTCTACCAATTAGAGGACGAGTATACTGCGCGGCAGATCGTTCTGTTCTGCTTCACGGCTGTGAAAGGTGCCCATTAAGAGTAGAAGATACTCGTAAGCTACTAGTATTTGACCACAGATGCCTTAGAAATATTGCTCGCATCTGTTGGGATCAACAGGTAAGCAATAGTGAGGTTCGACGCAGGGTATTAGGGAGTGATGGTAAATTAGTTGATGCGGTTGTGAATTCTCATCGACTGAGATGGTTGGGCCACGTGTTGCGTATGCCCGAACACCGATTACCACGACGTGCAATGCTAACCGGTGCTGGAGATGGTTGGAAGAAAGTTAGGGACGGTCAAACCAAAACGTGGCATCAGTGCTTGAAGTCACTAACTTCTAGTCTGAGCCATGTTGGTAGATGCAGACTACTTGGTTGGGGTCCGCGTGACTATCGTAACCAATGGTTGGAGACTCTTGGTGACATGGCTCAGAATCGATCACAATGGGGTCGGTGTATACACTCTGTCTTCTCTTAAACTAAGAGATTAAAATCGCTTCATATATTTCTTTCTACGAACTAATTCTTTCTTCCTGTACCATATCGTTATATGCAATCCTTCCTTTATATATTACACCATTGAGTTAATTGCTTCTATAAATTTGTTCATCTTGCTGTGCTAATAAGGTGTGGTAACTTGGACCGATGCACATATGTGCCTGGTCCTACGTTGTAACTGACTGACTGTTGTAATCTGATATTTTTTTCACTATTTCTGCAATTAGGTTCTAGAGGAATGAAGTGAGACAGTCATCTCGAAATAGCCTTCTCTGTAGCGTAGCTATGAGCTGTAGTGCATGCTTTCTCTACGTATCATTTTTGTGTCATAGAATCCCTTTCAGATTTGTTTCTAATAAAGATAGTAGTCTGGTAATAGTAATGTAATGTCTTCATTAAATTAAACTTAAAATTGACAATTAACTTGAACGGTTTTTTTAAATGAAGCATGATGATCGAACAGATGATGGGTATGGTCCGAGGCGCCGATGGAATAATAAATCCGATCGTTTATACTCTTCTAGTAAGTTTCATTTATACACAGTCGCCCAATAAGTGCTTTTTTACATGCATATATTTTTAATGAGCATTCAATAAGGCAGTAGAATGAGTATTGTATTACATGAGATAATAATACTGCATCAAAAAAGGATAAACGATTAAATTAAATGCATGCCTACCACCGAACTATTAGCCTCAGTAATATCCAGATGATACGAATTAGAAGAATCAGAGCTAGCGAAAATCATTCAAAGAATAATTATAAGATTTCTAGCATACACTTTTCCTTGGTGCATCTAAACACCTAGCCGTCGCCACAGGTTACAAGTACGGAAGTATATCCCACTTCACTGTTATGTCCTGATAAGCATAATGAATGGTAGCTCTTTGGATCCATTTAAGAACTAATTCTATACGTATATTTTTATCGTATAATTGTTAAATAACTAAAGTATTCATATTCATGTCCCTCTTATTATGAGCCTTATTTTGTCCTATGAACTATTATTATACGTTGTACCATTCTTGAGTTATGCCCTGTCTACTAATTACTACCTCGCTCATTCATAGCCACATTTGGCCAAATCTTGTATAAATGTTTTTTCATATTTTATTGGTACGATGTGGTCTGTCTGGTTGGTATATAAACTGAGTATGTTTGAAATAAATGATTCGTATTGCAGAGGTTGAGATTGATGTTCTGGACTTAACTGGCTGGGCTAGGCAGGAAGCATGACTAATAAGGACTCGACTGTTCTCACGGGTTTTACGCGTCCTAGGTCCGATCGATAATCCACTGCTCTTTAATTGGCAGTATCGTTACGTTACACATTAACAGGGCACACAGGCCACAAGTTACGACATCTACTGATTAATTCTACTACATATAGTGTTGTGATTGCAGTTATGGTGTTTTCGTAATAATTATCTTACTCCTTTTGAATCGACTACTTTTCACCAAGTTATGACGGTAAACTTAGTAATGCTAGGTAAATTTAAATTTCTTAACTTTGGTTATGTCTTTTAATATGATAGAACGATTTGTACGCCGGTGCTGTAGTTTAGTGTTGTTTAGAATATTTGCCTTTGCAATCTGTAAATAATATGTAAATTTAGTGTACTGAGGAAAAATTAACATTAGTTACAATTTTCATTGTTTTTACATTTATGACATCTTATAAACATTTGATTTCAGGTTACCAACGTGATCGTCGATCTCGCCGCACTTCTCCTTCACCACGATCATCTCGTTCTGAGATTAAACCTAAAAAGTGGCTGCACGACAAATTTGAAGAGATGGAAGGGGACAATAGTTCACAAAAACCGATCCCAATGCCTGTTCCTGCTCCCAAACCTATATTATGGTCTACTATTGGGAAGGAAATCTTGAATGGAAATAAAACTGTTGTAAGTGATGACCAAAATTACAGCCCGAATAGTGCGGCCAATCAATCACCGCTAACAGACAACGAAAATACTACGAATACACTAGAGACAAAAGTACAATCAGTTGTGGCCAATTCAACTGTTCGTAGTAATGAAAAAGTTTCTACCAAAGAAGAGCATTTCAACAGTGAAGTTTTCCATCTCGATGTTGATCATGTATTTGATGAAGCTATTGAACGATGATCTATGTCTGATATGTATAGTCAGCATTACAAATTACGCATTTTGTTTTGACAATAATCACTTCCTGTCTGTTATATTGCTTGTATATTCAATTTGTTTATATAAGCAACTTACGTTTGCATTCTGAATTTCGTTATTTTTTTATACATATATATAGTTTTCAGAAAAGATATTTCGTTTAACTGGGTTTCTCATTCAAATGGGTAGTTTCTTTCGATTTAGAAATCGTCAAAATAGTTCAATTTTTATTGCACACCTCAAATATGGTATAAAACTTCACTTCACCTTAATAAAAAAGTATCTTCAGTTCACATTGAAGTCTTATAAATCAATGAGCACTTATCTGAAAAAGTTAACGATCAATATGCATTAAATAGAATATGTGGCCTTTATGTCCCAATCAAGGTAATGTGGTCATAGATAAGAAACTGTGTACAAGGAAACATGTCTAGCGCATAATATTTTTGCAAAATATCTGTACGCAATTAGATTGCTTTTACCAAAATGTTGAGCATAAAAGGACAATATACAGTAAAAAATTATTTATTACATTATGATCTACAGAGTTGTTTTAAATTATTTACATTATTCGTTTCCAAAGCCTTAAGTTCTAGTCATAGATTTTTAGCTTGAGGAATTATGAATATTTCAAAATTCACATTGAAGGATATATGCTACAAATAATGAAAAAAACATTTACAAGTCATTTAAGTAAAAGATGACTAAAAAATATAGGATTTTGTTAACAAATACAGCACATGAATTTCTCTAGCTTTGTACTATATTCCTTATCGAAACTGTTCAGTGTTGACCGTTGTCGCTCCACACATGAATTTACCATATACAGTGATACTACAATACGACATTTCAGATTGAACATTTACAATTATTCGTGGTGTGATATCGGTATAGCGAAGTCAAAGAAAATAGAGTTAGGTATATAGGTCGTTCGACGCGTATTTTATCCGAAATAATTCAAGAACATTACCCGGTGTGTCTAAAGAGAAGGAAACGGCTCAATAATAAGTTCAATAACCGAACACAGGTCACTCAATCGAGACGTACTCTGCGTTCAAAGTCGTGTACAAGGTAAGTAGAAGTCTTCCAAGGACAATTAGATTGCATCTTTTTTGAATTGCCGAAGCAGTAGCCATACATCTGGAAAAACCAGAATTGTGTGTGCAAGAGATTGGTACAACCTCTTTTTCTACCATGGTATCAGTTTCTTATAATTTTTTCTTCATACTCTTCTTCCTTTACAGCCATCTGCTTGACCTTCCATCTTCCCCTTAAATCTTCTATCCCCAACTAGTTGATCTCTGTTTCTACAATCATCCTGATTACATTTTATCTTATCATGCTGAGCCATCCTTTCCCAATGATCAGTTCTCTATCTATCTTTTGATGAATACTTAAGCCATTAACAATCAAACGATTATTAAACCGTCCTTGTTTTATAAAATTTGTTTAAATACCTTTGTTTATTTTACCTCACTGTCACCATGTCTAAGAGAAGTTTATTATCAGCACTATTATCATCCTGTAAAATGAGTATATACATTTGCGATTGTACAGCTTTGAAAATAAATTCGCCGAAAAGAGAACTTTTTGCTGAACTAATTTAATATCTTAATGGGTGTATTCTGTTTACATACAATTTGATTGATGTGTATTTTATCACTTGAGAAAACTGTTCATCAAGTCAAATAATCTACCTAATGCGTGAATCCAGGTTAGTAAAAACCAATCAGAACTGAAACGAATGACATCAAATTTTACCCAATGAGAGTACCATGATATTTCTTACAATGATCTGAAATCCCAAAACAGTCAATCAGTTCAGTAGATGAACAAAAACTTTGAAAAAGAAAAAATAATTATTTTTGTCTTACCTGTACGAATTCTCGTAAAGTGGTAAATATAATTCGGGTGTATCTCTTCCACTAGTATACTGATTATTAATATTATGGTTAGAATGTTTTCCAGTATATGGGACTTTTATAAAATGTTGTGAAAAAGCTTGTATGCATAAACTTCGCTGTTCGCGGTAAGTATTTAATTCAGTTAAATTTAAGATTCCATTCGTTGACAATAGTTTTTGTTCTGTATGACTTGTACTAAATAATTTAATTGGTGGTAAACTAGTCACATGACTTATAAGACAATTAAAAAGGATATCTTCACAGTTATTAAATACATTGACAATCTCATGAAGTTTACGATCCAACAATGTTTGATACAGATGATGATAATAACTATAAAAACGTAGACAAAAGAAAATAAGGTTTGTTATATTAGATACCTAAAAACAATGAGGTTATGAATCTTCATCGACTGAGATGGTTGGGCCACGTGTTGCGTATGCCCGAACACCGATTACCACGATGTGCAATGCTAACCGGTGCTGGAGATGGTTGGAAGAAAGTTAGGGACGGTCAAACCAAGACGTGGCATCAGTGCTTGACGTCACTAACTTCTAGTCTGAGCCATGTTGGTAGATGCAGACTACTTGGTTGGGGTCCGCGTGACTATCGTAACCAATGGTTGGAGACTCTTGGTGACATGGCTCAGAATCGATCACAATGGGGTCGGTGTATACACTCTGTCTTCTCTTAAACTAAGAGATTAAAATCGCTTCATATCTTTCTTTCTACGAACTACTCCTTTCTTCCTATACTATATCCTTATTGGAATCTTTTATATATTACCACCTCTGAATTAGCTACTTTTATGAATCCGGCGTCCATCTTGTGTTAATGAGGTGTGGCAACTTGGACCGATGTGCCTGGTCCTACGTTGTAGCTGAGTGACTACCTAAAAACAGTGAGAAAATTTGACCAATATGTGTACAAAACAACAGTTATCAGATTCAGTATTTTTTCCACATCTATTTGACAGACGCAGTAATCAGTACAGCTGTATAATGGGTGAATCGATTTGATCGTGTGTAGGAGATCAGCCAATTGATTACATGGATACAAAATAATAGTCGGGTATGACCAATGTTTGCTTGAAATTAAGACGACAAGTGATGAGGCTAAGCGCGGAATTGCAGGCTCTACATAGCATTGCTACATACAGAGTTGTATTGATGACACCATCTTGAGAAATACTTTCGTCATTTGCTCACAGAACGCAACTTGAACATTTGCACTGTAAGCTGTAAATACTAAGGTGTCGGTCAGTTTTTAATATTTTGTTTTATTTCCAACTGTATTTGTTTTTTTATATGAGAAATTAAAAAAAATTGTAACACAAACTAACCGATGATAAAATGCCCCATTTAGTAAAAACTATTGAAAAATGCTTCATCGATGGATTATCATCATATTTCCATAGGTTATCTGTAGTATTCCAATAATGTGAACGAGCTTGAAATCCAACTAAACGATTAGGAAATTCTTGCCAAGTTAGATATGCGAAATTTAACTAAAAAAATAGTGTAGAGAGAGTATTAATTCATAGCTTAATCGACTTTTAGTCCAACGTATAAAAAACGAAGCACTTAAACTACACTCAAAACTGTTTTTTAGGAATCCGTCAAAACTTCTTTGGATTTCATTATACTTTGTGTTCCAATATATAAAATCAGTCTAATTTTATCACTGTGGGATTATTTGTTTTGTTATTTTCTAACAAATGTGTAAAAAACTATCGATAATAAAAATGTTGAATATACGATCTAAACACCAATAAATCAACATGAATGAGTACATAATACAAATTTTAAGTGAAAATTTTTGTTTCGATGTTAATTTATCTTTTTATTTGTATTTTATAACATGTCCCTTTATCATAATCAAGTTTTACATCTGGATTGCTTTAAGCGAGTGACCATTTTCACTCTGTAATGATATATTAACAGAATTCAACTGTTTGAAATCTTATGGAGATAAGACCCAATAGTTCTTTCTTCAGTTGTATTACTTAAGTTGATTTAGCTGTTTAGTTTTTCTGCTGATCAGCACATTCAGAACTATTCTGGATTACTGATGTAGGTTCATTAAAGTTTCTAATAAGAAACGTTACAGTTTAAGCTTCTCATTTTTTTACATTAATAAAATCTAGTTACATAGTGCTAATTTTGAGGTGGAGCGTTTGATTTCTGTATTAAAATCAAAATAAACGTTAATCCATGCCATTTGTACTCTGAGGTTCCTATGAGAGAATTTCAAATGATCTCCAAATAAATTTAAGAAAGCAATTTTACTGCTTATATATTTAGTTCAATACCTTTTTAATAAGTGTAGGAATATTACTATCTTACTGGGATTATCTTAGGAAATGTGTTCGTACAATGAGTAAACTATAATTAACTCACAATCAGTCAGCCATAACCAACCCAGGACCTGGAACAAGTGTGCACCGGCTTAATTTGTTACAGCACATTGGTAAAGAAAGGCGAGATTCTTTAGTAAGAGAAGCATCAAATGACTCGGAATTAAGGTAGTAGTAATGATAATAAGATGGGACAAAGAAAGGAATAAAACACGGGAATACAGCATTTAGGCAGAGATCAAGGATGAATGGATCTGTCCCATTACAAACGATTTTAAGATATACCACTCAGCGTTTTTAAACATTGGCCGCAATTATCCAGCGGATCTGGATCACGAAGTTTACATTTATCAACACGAACCGGTACAGCAGTTAACCTTTTTACAATCTAATAGCACGTCTTTGTTTGGTCGCTCCTAATTTTTTTCTATCCTATGCCTCTGACATCTAGGACAGTATGTCCAGGTAGGCGTGGCTGAGCAACCATAATATATATCTCAACCATGAATTTAGACAGAGGATTAATGTGCACACCAGCTACCCGTTCCTTAATTTACTTATCAATGTGCAGTCAGTATACATAGCTTCCAGTGACAGATTTCATTCTTCCAATCCCTGGGTGGGTTGAGTGAAGCTGTCGTAGGAAGGTTGAACGTAGATTACTAGGAGCCACTACGGGATCGGCGAACATAACGGTCATTTACAATGGACAGAGAATGGCGTCGTTGATGACACTGCTTTAATTCATGGGATGTAATATGTGGGAGTCAGCAATTTTGAATAAATCTAGATAGTTACTGTAAAATAGGAACATGACGTGTAGTCAACAGCTTGAAGAGCTGTCACTGAAATTTGTACTGCATTCACCAACACCTTGCTCACATGTTTAACTTATATAGAAGCACAAATGTTACATTCATCCTCAAGTTTGTGATTGCCCATTAAAAGTGATAATGAGATGACCAAAATAAGAGGTCGATTTGTACTTAATGGTGAAATCACAACACAGCAATATTGTAGCTTATAGATGGCTAGGAGAAAACGAATACATATAATTCCAGAAATTGGACTGAGGTCGAACGCAAATATAGCCGGACAGAAAGAAATGAGGACTCATTGTCGCAGAAAATGTGTTGAAGTTTCCAAATCTACGAAAAGTGGAACCACATTTCTGATCTTCTCCAGCTGAACCCTAGTCGCACGTACACGTCGATTTTACTAGCCCATTCCATAGTAGTTATATCTTCGTATATGTTGACTCATATTCTAAATGACCAAAGATAATTCCCATGAACCGCATCACCTCCCATTCTACATTTGCGAAAATTATATAGCTGCTATGTCGTTTTAGGGTCCCGGATATCCTGATAATAAACAATAATACACAATTTACTTCTACTGCCTTAGATTTTTGTGCTAGATTATTCGTCGGTTCCCAAGCTAAAAGGTTTGTGCATACTTCCGAAATAGCATAAAACACAGGCTTATTATACATACACTCCAGTAGATCATTCACTCTCAGCCTTTTTGGTGGGAAGGTGTTATGACGAGAAGAATTGAGAAAATTGAAAGTTGTGTAACCCTTTTTTCGAGACACTACTAACTTTACTTTTTGACCTGTAGTTATTAATAGTTAATGCATGTGATTCCTATATTTTCCTAATCACAAGTTATTATACTTTAATCATGGAGTCTGGTATTCAAATGTTTAATTTAAACGACCAATTTTTGGCATATATACATCGAATTACCTGTTCAACTGTAATGTTCAAGTTTAATGAATATGCAAACACAGCCAAGGTAGGAATTTCGTGAAAAGGTTGAAAACGAACACTTGGAGATATAGAATTAGAAGAATATCTTAGTGTAAAGCGTTCGTCAGGGAGAACGATTTCAACTGGGACTGGAGCATAAGATTTTACTTCATTATTATTTGGTGGAAAATTCTTGCATTGCCAAATCAGAATTATCTAAAAAGATGATGGGATAACAAAAAGCATCTGTACACAGATAATTAGTTATCAGTTTCACATGTATACACAATCGAACGTAGTCAAACTATAACTCAATGAATAAAATAATGAACTACTCAACCAAATGGATAATGGGTTGAAATTCAATCCTAATAACCATATAATATGATTATGAATAGTTCCACTGTTTTCGATCAGGACTTAGTTGAGAACTATTCTTATTGGATATGTCATACGAGCAAGTTGATAACATGTGAGTGCTATCTCATAAATACTTTTCTCGGCAATGTCGCTAACCAACTATCTTAGTCACACACACATTTGTTTACTATCATCTTGTGTGCTATGTACCAGTTGAAAACTGGAAATACTGGATAATATAATATCTCATTGAATTTTCATACTACAGATAGAACACTTCATTTATATGACATCTTGTTTATAGAATATGACGTCATTTTTCAGTTTGTGGTCTAAGTTATCAATGAGACTGTATTTTAATATTAACTGAATTCCTGTCATTGTGAATAACCAAGTTACTAAAAGGAGTAAGCTTTCAGTTTTCCATATCTGTTTCTCAAATACTTGTCAGTCAAATAATTAATAATAATAATAATAATAATAATTGGTCAGCCTCTTTCGAACAACAGTAGCAGTAGGAATACAAATTTCCAAAACGAAAACTTGTAGCTCCGAACTTAAACTAAATAGATTCAACTTTCTCTTCATCACTATCGAAAAGTCAAGGTATACATTTTGTCGAAAATCCAAACAGCCTGTAAAAGATTGGGTAAATTCCGTTGTCTATTAATTTGCATATTTGTGTGGAAACACATGCATAGAGAGGAAAAAATGTTACCTCCAAGCAGGGGTGGTTGAATACATACTTAAGTGGCAACAAAAATATATGGATTTCAATGGTCAAATGAGAGCATAGGAATAGACAAACATCTCTCTGCATTGTGAAACATTTGGTCAAGACGGGTCATAAGAGTGATGTCAAACCAACCTTTGAAGTGACTAAGGGCGTGTACTTAAGTTTACTGAAGCCTTGTCAACACAGAAATCTAAATCTCCTTTGTGTATAAAAATGTTTGTTCCCACCTTGAATCTATCATGGTAATATTGATTTACTACTCAGAATCCTCCTACCTGCCTATAGATGCCTTACTAAGTAGATATGTGATCAGATTGTTCAAGATGTATTGCGCTAATATATCACATAGTTCTGATAATCTTGGTGACCTAATGTTCAATGAGTAAATAAGATCAAGCCTATTATAAAATGACTGCGACTGACCTTCTGTAGGACTGAGGCATTAATCGCATAGTAGGAATGAATGTCATACTACCTGATTTCCAGAGCTTATCAGATTATATAACTCAAGTTGTAAAGAGACCGCTAATTTAGGCAACTCGGAACCATAATGGACTTTGTTTGAAGTTCAATGATTAAAAATAATCAGCATAAAACTCTGACTTTATATATTGTCTTTAAAACTCAGTAAAATCAGTATATGATAGTGAAGATTGTTGAGGTTTTACTGAGATTGTAGTGAACAAGAACACCAATGGGGACAATCAAATGTATTAAACACAAAATTACAGAACTTGTTAATAAAATCTAACAACCATATACTAAATGCTCAATTCGCAAAATGACCACCAATTGTCCGAAAATGGCCCAGACTTCATTGTTCTTGTATTTTCATACAAATTCCATTCTGTTTTCATTCTTTACTGTTCGGTCCTCTTGTCTCTCTGCTGCCCGACCTTCTGTTCACAACTAACACCATATAATAATTATGTCAATATAAGTAGCACACACACGACTGATCAATGTTAAACCATCATTGAAAACCCGGAAGCACTGGATGGCTGTTTCATCCTAGTACGGGACTCCTTAGCAGTGTATAACTTCAACCAATCCACGATAGTGCGCGACCATCTCTCATTGTCTTTGGTGGGCAATTTCCTCAGTAAATTTACAGAGCAATCGATAAAAGAATATTATTTTAAATAATATAATTCAGTACTTATAAGTTTGTGTGATGAATTGTAAGTGATATTTATTTAATGATGTACTGTTTTTAGGAAATAACTGGAACAGATTTTTAAATATAATCGCTAGTCGAAGCATTAAATTATGGATTATTTTATTGTGTTCGGAAAGAAAAACACTCACTTTCTCTCTCTTGCACATATACATACGAAAGTGGAAACTCGATATGGTAGTATTACTTAATTTGAGGAATAAACTTTCTTTACCTTTCGTAAAACTCGGAATGGAACAGAATTTTACCGAGAGATTTTAACCGTTCCAAATAAACAGCACAAAGTTCTGCACGTATTGGAATTAACATTGTGAAACCTGACTTGATTTCGGCTATTTAAATGGAAAATACAAAAATGAAAGGTGTTTTAACATAAGAAAACAACTATATATTAATAGGACAAAAATAAAAAAGACATGATAATGGTTTGTCAACATCTATCGTAAAAATAAGAAAGCTATGCCTTAATGACCCACTGATTATTAATATTATACCTTGAGCTCAGATTCTTAATATACCGCGTATGATTTGAGCATCCGAACGCTAGAATCCTACCAAGTCGCAAATCAGAAGACAGGAGAAACTGCTTGCTTGTTTAGAACTGAATTTACTCATGTCAGCTGTTATTAATCACCAAAGGGTATTTGAATTATTGATCGGACTGATTCGCCTTGTATGATTCAAATCAATGTCATCCGATTACTCAGTTAACTACGTTATCACCCAGCGATTCTGGCTGCAACCAACCTCCTGTAAGACAATCATCATTATGCTCGTTGGTGACTGACTAATGAACAGAGCTAAGCTTGTCTAGTCCCTAAGGCTGGTCGGATACATTTAATCACCTCTCGCTACCAAACAACAAGGTCTAAATGAGTTTATGGGTTATGTAAATGAGTGAAATATTATATTTGCTTTTTAAAATTAGGGTACATACAAATAACAATGTTCTCATTGATTGTTCACTGTGAAAAAATGGCTCAAGAATGGTACGCTTTCAGAATCTTCCCAAGAAAAACCTACATTGACAATGCATCGGATATCGTTGAACTGCTACATCACAACTATCCATAGAATCTACATGCGAAACTATAAGACCACCAGGTAATGTATTCCAAATTTCGTAACTCCGACGACGAAGCGAAACTCTATCTCGTATAATCTGAAATCAGAATAATAACCAAACAAAAGAAAGTGTACGCACACAATTTTGTTAGAAATCACGTGAAATGAAAGTTTCTCAGTCATTTAGTTAAAACGTAGGACCAAGCACATATCCATCGGTCCAAGTTGCCACACCTGATTAGCGCAACAAGATGAATACCAAATTCACAGAAGCAATTACTTCAATGGTAGTAAAAAAGATTCCACATAAGGATATGATACAAGGAAAAAAAATTAGTTCGTAGAAAGAAAGATATAAAGTAATTTTAATCTCACGGTTTAAAGGAAAATAGAGTGTATACACCTACTCCATTGTCATCAATTCTGGACCATATCACTTAGACTCTCTAGCCATTGGGTAAGATATTCGCGCGAACCCCAAGTTGTATGGTTCTCACATTTTACTAAGAGATTCTGTAATTTTGCATCAAACAATAATTTGGTTGTCCCCCACTTGAGTGTTGGTTCACTACAATAGCACCCGAGTGCCAAAACGGAATTGGGCGAGATGAGGCTCTAAACTCAGAATTAATGACTGAAAACCGAATGTCTTAACCGCTAAGCTACCGTCTTTGACGTTGCTTTACTTATTACCTCGTGAGGTTAGACACATAGACAAATGTTCTAGGAGTGTTTTCCCGAAAAAACCATCTGTTTTGATTTAAGCACCTTAGCAGTATATTAGCCCTCACAAAAGCACAAACCATGAAAGGTAAACAATCCTGCTGGACTTATTTGACATCAATGAATGTAACGTTCTTGATACAAGCGCAACGATGCTTTATATTAACCGTAAAACTCAAACCCTTTTAATTTATTTCATAAAATCAATCGAAATAAATAGACCATTGACAAACTCTCTTATTTGGAGATAAGTTTTCTTACCCTTGAAGAATTTGGTACAACTAGGATAGCAAGCAAAATATGAGCCACACAAAGTAAAGAGATAATATTGGGAAGAAATAAAAGAGAAAAATGGGGTGTAATCAAAGAAAAATAAGTGAAAGAAAATGGCTTGTAATAAGAGATATACCTCAGTTAAAAGTAGCAGTAAAAGAGAGTCTTCTTACAGTTGACGCACCTCATCTTACTTTTATAAAAATCCAAAAAACTAATGCATGATACCCATTGGCTTCTATTCTGAGCCATGTTTGATAACATCTCAAGCCACTGAGATTTGTCATCTTTAAGATCCCAATCAGGAAGTCGTGATAGGCCAACAGATCCCGTTTTTTTTTATACAACTTTCTTTCTTACCATCCACACCCAATTGTCTTAGTACGGCTGATGGTTGCAAGAGTTCGTTATCCCTCTCGAAATGCTATTACACTGTCATGGGAATTTAGTTTCTGCTACGAAAGTTTTACTCACTGCCTCCACAACGTGCAGGTACCGCAAGAGGACGAAAAGCAAGCGTCTGACGGTTAGACTGGGCTGTTAAATATGAATGATCGACCTAGGGGACCTGTAAAACTCTCACTGCAAATCAGTGATGTAGATGGGCCCTGTGATTCTAAGAGAAGGAATAACATATAAATTTATTTTGGCCACCGGTCACCATGGTCTGGGGCCCCCCTGAATGCCCTGGTACGGCCGAGAGTGGGGAGAGTCCGCTCTCCCTCTCGAAATACTCTCACACGGCCACGCGTATACAGCCTCTGCCAGGGAAGTCCTACTCATTGCCTTCTCGTGGCGGGGGTGTTGTCTACGAAAATGAGAGGACGAAAAGCGAATGTCCGGCGCTTTAACCGGATTCCAAATCAATGGTGCACATGGGCTCCAGTATCCTGCGGGAACGAATGGCGTATGAACCAATCGTTGGTCACCGGCTACCATGGGACTGCATCTCCTTACGATGCTCCACTGCCTTGTGGGTTAGACCTTTAGGTCAAAGGCTCGGGGAGTGGCCCCCTAAGATAACCACCTGCTTCGGTTTGGGCACCCGGGCAGTATCACAGCCCACACACAAATTGATGAACTCTTTATGCCTACGGAAATTACCTTTCTTGCTTTGAAAAACAAACAATTGATTCAGATTATTATCATTACAATTATTGTCATTATTAATACTGTTATTATTATTACTAGTATTATTGTCATTATTGTTATTATTATCATTATTATTATTATTTTCCACATTACTCACCCTCTTTTATACTTATACAGCGGCTCGTCTTTGGCGGAAATCCGACTGTATCTATACGTTCTCGAGTCACTGTCCGGTTGAAAATTGTATGTTACCACCGAATACGAGGACTGAAGCAGATTTTCTGAAACCACGTGCACCATTCAAACTGGCTGCCTTCAACGTTCGCACATTTATGCAGGTCGGACAACAGATAGGGCTGGCTATGTCTTTGGAAAGTCTTAATATCGACGTGTGTTGTCTATCCGAGACCCGTATTCAAGACTCTGGCGAAGTACTACAAATTCGATCTCCATCTGTCGCTTCGAAAAGCTTGTTTTACGTGCGCTTATCCGGGGACCCTGTGGCATCTTCGTCTGGTCTTGCTGGCGTTGGTGTCGCACTAAGCGCTAGAGCTGAGGCAGCACTAGTCGATTGGATCCCCATTAACAGTCGGTTATGTGCTGTTAGATTAGAAAGTTCCATCAAAGTGAGAAGAAATCGGCGTGAGAAACGATGTCTTTTCGTCATCTCCGCCTATGCCCCGACAGATTGCAGCCCGGATGCAATCAAGGATGAGTTTTACCACCAGTTATCAGTTCTTCTCCAGAAAGTGCGTTCGACAGATATTGTAGTACTAGCCGGAGACTTGAATGCTCAGGTCGGGCGTCTAGGCACAGAAGAGAGTCGTTTAGGTGGCCGATGGGGACTCGTTGGTCGCAGGTCAGATAACGGGGACCGTCTACTGCAACTTTGCACAGACCACAACCTGTTTCTGGCTAGCACTAACTTTCGGCACAGTCATCGCCGATGTGCCACCTGGCGTCCTCCCTCTGCATCTCAAGCCTGGACTCAGATTGATCACATCGCGATCAGCTACCGCTGGCGTGGTTGTGTAAAAGACTGCCGCTCCTTTTGGAGTACCTATCTGGACTCTGACCATGCCTTGGTCTGCGCCAATCTTACCTTACTTTTCAGTGGACAACGAAGTGAACGCCATCAACGGATTGATGTTAGCAAGCTGGTTGCAACTTCTGTTGCAAGTAAGTATCGAACCGAGCTAGCCTCTAGGCTAGCTACCACTCCACCGAAAAGTATAGATGAGCATTGGTTGCAATTGCATGACGCCATGAAAATGGCGGGAACAGTCAGTTGTGGGTTTGCGAAACGTCCCGCTTTAAGCACTGGGTTTCTTCTGGTTCCTTACAACTCATTGAAGCCCGTCGGTCTACTCCGGGTGACCGTGAGTTTGACCATAAACGAAGGATGTTACGTAAGGAGATTGGGCAAAGCTTGCGTAAGGACCGAGAAGCCTGGTGGTCGATGCGTGCTAATGAGCTGGAAGCAGCAGCTGCATCTGGTAACTACCGGAAGCTCTTCCAGCTCATCCGAGCCACTGGCAGCAAGAAGTCTGGTGTGAGTGAAACAATCTGCGAGGATGATGGGATGCCAATCACTAACATCCATCGACGTCTTGGACGATGGGCAGAATTTTTCGAAGGGCAGTTCAACTGGCCTGCTGCTCCGGCAACATCGGTCAGACTGTCCTGCCCTCCATGGCCGGTGACGACTGATCCACCAAATGAGGAGGAAGTCCGCAAGGAACTCCAACTCTTGAAGCGTTACAAATCACCTGGCCCAGATGACTTACCTCCGGCTCTTTTTAAAGATGGTGGTGACTTTTTGACTAAGGAATTGACGACGTTGTTTACAAAGGTTTGGGAACTAGAGTGTGTACCAACGTCATGGAATGAGTCGATAGTTGTCCCTATCTTTAAAAAGGGTTCACGTCGTTCTTGTAACAACTATCGGGGGATAAGTTTACTTCCGATTGCGTCCAAGCTATTGGCTTCCGTCATTCTTCGTAGGTTGTTCAAAACCCGAGAAAGATTGACTCGCGAGGAGCAGGCTGGGTTTCGTTCTGGTCGAGGATGTATTGATCATATCTTCACCCTCCGCCAAATGTTAGAACACCGCCATACTTTTCAAAGGCCAACAATCGTAGTGTTTCTTGACATCAGGGCTGCCTTCGATTCGTTGGACAGGACTGTTCTCTGGGATTGTCTATTGAAGAAGGGTGTGCCTGAGAAGTTTATTAACATCCTAAAAGCCCTATATAAAAACACCTCAGGCAGAGTGAGGGCATACAACCACCTCTCTCCATTGTTCCATTCGAGCAGTGGGGTTAGGCAGGGTTGCCCAATCTCACCATTCCTCTTCAACTTTGCCATCGATGACATTCTGGAAACAGCTCTGATGAATGTAAGTAATGGTGGTGTGGATCTGTTGCCTGGAGAAAGACTTCTCGACCTTGAGTATGCGGACGATATTGTCTTACTGTGCGATAATGCCCAAGGCATGCAATCCGCACTTAATCAGTTGGCAATCAGTGTCCGTAGGTATGGTATGTGCTTTGCACCTTCGAAGTGCAAAGTACTTCTACAAGACTGGCAGGATTCTAATCCTGTACTCACCCTGGACGGTGAGCAGATAGACGTAGTTGAGAAGTTCGTGTATCTGGGTAGCTGCATAAGTGCTGGTGGGGGTGTGAGTGATGAGATCAATGCACGAATAGTGAAAGCCAGAGCGGCTTATGCCAATCTGGGCCACCTTTGGCGCCTTCGTGATGTTAGTCTGGCTGTAAAAGGTCGGATCTACAACGCGTCGGTGAGAGCAGTTTTGCTCTATGCTTGTGAAACCTGGCCTCTCCGAGTTGAGGACGTTAGACGACTCTCTGTGTTCGATCATCGCTGTCTCCGAAGGATTGCTGACATTCAGTGGCAACACCATGTCAGTAATGCAGAGGTTCGGCATCGTGTGTTCGGGCACAGAGATGATAACTCAATTGGTGTCACCATCTTGAAACACCGACTTCGGTGGCTTGGACATGTTCTCCGAATGTCGTCCCAGAGAATTCCACGTCGTGCATTATTTGCCGACTCTGGGACTGGTTGGAAGAGGCGGAGAGGTGGTCAGTGCATGACATGGTGTCGTGGCATGAAAGAAAGCTGCAAAGGACTGGCTTGTGTTGGTCCTTCACGACTCCCTGGTTGGGGTCCGAGAGATGGTGCTACACAGTGGCTAGAGACGTTATCAGATATGGCTCAGAATAGAAGCCAGTGGCGATCCTGCTGTAACCTTCTTTTACTTTCTTTCTAAAAAGTGGTTGTGTCTCCTTTACCTGAAAGATTTCTTCTGATTGTACCTTTTCGTTCCGTCGTTACTACCACACTACCTTACTCCAATCTCTTCGTCATTGTTCTCTTTTTCTTTTGCGTTCCCTAGTTTTTTTTTTCTTTCTATTTCTCTTCGAATTTTCATTGTTTTGTGTGGCGCATATATATTGGCGCTCTCTTGTACCAATATTTATGTGTTCAAATAAATAAATAATATAATAAATGGTCTGGGGGTCTCCTGGCACTGCTCTGCTGACTGATGGATTCGACCTCTAGATCAAAGGCTCGGGAAGTGACCCACTAAGGAGAACATTTACTTCAATTCGAGCGGCCGGGAGTTTTCCAGCACATACAAAAATATTATTGTTATGAATGAAGAAAATGTCCTCGCTTCTCTAGCTATCCATACAAACAATATAATGCAAAGAACTAATTACGAGCAAATTTATTTTACGTTACTTTATCTTTACATTCCTTTTTTTGTTTTGATTTAAACCTGGGAGTACCCATAACATACTTGAAATGTATTTCTTTAACTAACAGCGACTGTATAAACTATATCATACAAATTCAAAAGGAAATATTTACCTCAAGTGTTGTAAGAACAATTGATTCGATTGAAGATAAATACGTATGCCAAAGAAACATTACTTGTTGTCGATATTGAATTATCTGATGCGATGAAATACGTCGTAGATTTAATGGAAGCAATAAAGGTAATCGTTCGTCAGCCCAAATAACTGCTCGATTCCAATCAATCACTTCAGAAAACGGAAGTTCCAAATCATTGCTCAACATAACTGGGATACAACCAGCCTGCAAAACTTCTAAGAACCTTAATTAAATAATACAAACACGAAAAATAAGAAATGGAATGAATAAGAGTACTTTGCTTAGAACGAATAGAATTCTCATTTCACTAGAATAGTATGATAGGAATTACGAAAATAAAAGGATTCAAGAATTTAATTCACTTGATATTGTTTTACTTGAATCTTCCCATTGATGTTTTAGGACTGAAATTGATCAGTCTCTTATTGGCATATGTGCATACTGTGCGTATGCCTCGATATTGCCTTAATTTACAAGCAAGTGGCTATCAGGACTCAGTAGCTAAGTGGATAACGCGATGGCGTTTGAAGCGAACGGTACTGAGTTCGAGTCCCAGAGTGAACATCAACTCTGAGATGCAGGTACATCCAGCTGACGAGTCCCAAACAGGACGAAACGCGCGTCCTGGATTCCACTGCTAGCCACTATCCATCTTTGCTTATGATTCAAGAATTTATTTATTTTTGGGGGTTATAAGCAACAAGGTAGCTTAAAAAAACCCATTAATTTCTTAATGCTAAGGTATTTTTTCGTGAAAATAGTTCACATCACGGAATAATTCAAGCAAAACGACTACTGAGAGCTCAGGAACGTCGGATGGCTTTCTTTTTTCTAGTTGGAGCTCTTTTGATGTTTACACCCACAACCACACTAAGAATTACTTCCAAAATATTCAGATATTGGGGTAAACTCAATACCTTTAAATCACTTAGTCGGAATACAATGATCCACATACCCAAATTCACGCAGTTCGTGATATCCCACAATACCTACCTAGTAGTATTACCGCAATAACTCACACTTTCAACTTAGTTAGGTGAGCGACATCCTAGATCGATTGAAGTTAGACATTAACACCGTCGGATACCCCTCAGTGGTCTAGGGGTTAAGCGTTCGCGCAAGAGACTGGAGGTTCTACGTTCGAGTCCTGCGTGCGGGATTGTGGATGCTGAGGAGTCCCATACCGGGACGAAACGGCCGTCCAGTGCTTCCAGGTTTCCAATGGTGGTCTTGATAAGTCTTCTAACTGAACGCTAGATTCGGTCCCTAAGTCAGTCAGTAGCAACGTAGAACTTCGTACGTACGTACAATCAGTTCGAGTTGCCACACCACATTAACACAGAGATGCAGTTGTCGATTCAAATCCCGTAGTGGTAGAGGTAATAAGAGTATAAGCAGTAATCGGGAAGATTAGGGTTTGGAGATGTTATTTAAAGAGTATAATCCAGTGAAATAAATTTGGAAAGAGTAGAAAGAAAGGGACATGAAGGATTCAGAAGATTAGAATTTGGGAGAACACAGAGAGTGGATGCACCTGCATCTCGCAGTCCCCAACCAGGTAGTCTACACCTACCAACATGACTCAGTTCACTTGTCAGTGACTTCATGGACTTGTGCCATGTTTTGGTTTGGCCGCCCCTAGCTTTCTTCCAACCTACTCCTATACCACTGAACATAGCACGTCGAGGCAGTCGGTCGTTGGGCATACGTAACACGTGTCCCAGCCATCTCAACTGATGAAGTTTCACTACGTCATCAATTGATTTGCCATCCTTACCTAGTACCCGTTTCCTGACAACTGCGTTAATTACTCGATAGTCCCAGGATATACGAGCAATATTTCGAAGGCACCTATGGTCAAATACTAGTAACCTACGAATATCCTCTACTCTTACCGGACATGTTTCACTGCTATAAAATAGGACGGAACCAAGTGCTGCCCAGTAAACCCGTCCTTTGATTGATAGACGGATATCTCGCCTACGCCATAAATCACGCGAGTTGGCAAAAGCTAGTCGAGCCTTCTGTATCCGTGCTGAGATTTCGTCACACACCAGACCACAAAGGCTGATGAGACTACCAAGATAAGTGAAGCGGTCGACACACTCAACTACTTCACTCCCTATCACTAGTTCGGGTGTCGATGTAACCCAATCCTGAAGCAACATTTTGCATTTCGAGGGGGAGAATCGCATCCCGAACATGCTTGCATTGTTGCTTAGAGTGGTCAGAAGACTGCATTTTGTCAGCGTCTTCACCAAATAAAACTATGTCATCGGCATATTCTAAGTCAACAAGTGAACCTCCCGGTAGAAGTTCAACCCTAAGCTCTTCTAATAACCCCCAGGCTAGATCCACACAGAGAGGAAAGGCACGAAATATGGGAGGAACACTTTACTCCAAATGTTCGTTTATGTACAGAAAATTTAGGGTTTTTATAGTATTTTAGATGGTCTTGGGTTTCCGGAAAATTCTGGAACGCTAATAAACATAGTAGCAGCATAGGTAATCATCCAATCAGAGACTTAACACGTGACTTTTCACTTTCTAGATGTTTCTGGCAAGCCTAGTGGATGATGATTGGATAATATGCTTCTCAGCGTTTGCGGAGCCTTTGTTGGCATGTTTCGAGGAGTTTCCTGGATCTCCCCAACAGGTCTAGCTTAGATCGACTCATGAAGTCGACTGTCAAAAAATACTAAACTTTTTTATTTCGACAATATTATTAAAATAATTGACCAAAACCAATGTACCAGAAGTGGGGAATAAAATTACAACACAGTGGATGAAAGACTATCACATTAACTACTCAGCTATAGCACCAGGTAGATAGATAGTATGAGAATTGTGTAACCTAATTATATCCACTATGGGTAACCAGTAATCTATTTCATAACTTCATTGCTCGAATATCCTAGATTAATCAATAGCGAGGCCCTATTTCCTTGGTTGTCGAAGTGATTATTTATTGATCACAATAAATGGATGATTTATCTCCTTGTCTATACTTAATATTGGCTTTTAATTACCGGTATAATAACGCTGCACGTAAGTTTTTAAGTAAACTGATCTTTCTTTAATATAGAATCACTTGTGTATATCTATATATTCCGAGTTTTATAACTAATTTACCAAGTACAGGTTATTGTATTCGACTTCGAACCACGCTGTTTGTGTAATGATCAGTGATACCAAGAGGCTGTCCAGCCATACGGCACAAGCAGGTTTGGAATTTGTGACCTAATTGTTGGAAGTTGATTGGTTCAATCAATAAACCAGAGCACCATATTAATTGTTGTGTCTTTATGGCCTGCTAGTTATCACGTAATCTATTCGCCAATCAAAATACGACTTATTCGCTCTCATACTATACTAAACCAATGACGTCCGACCGGTCTGATCAGCCCAGCATCCTATTGGTCCGTTTCTCACCTAGCCTGTTCAGCTGAGTCCAGAATGCCAACAACAGCCTCCATGATGCGAATTATTTATTTCAGACATACTCGGTTTATATACCAGCCAAATATATCGCATCCCATCACAATAAGGCCAAAAAGTGGCTGTGAACGTGGGAGACAATAATCAATAAACAGTATAATTTAAGAACAGTAAATCGTATAATAATAAATTATAGGTCAAAATGAAGATTATAATAAGAGTAATATACATATACACAGTCTAGTTACTGAATATTTATACCATGAGAATATGTAAATAATAGTAGTCCATTAATAGGTCTCAGACGTTACTCGTAATTCAATCTTCACTAGGATATAACATTAAGAGAAATCATACCAGTCTTCTAATTTTATTCAACATCGGTGCATACGTTATAAAGGTTCTGATACATAAAAAATGAGATTTTAATCTACATTTCAGTGAATAGTTCTCTATAACCGTACAAACGGAGACTAAAAATATTAATTATAAAAAAACATTTGAAATATTACAGATTCAATGTAACTACAATATTTTACCGATATGAACCTAATCGTCGACCACGAGGAACGAGACAAAACGTGGAATTATACATTAATTCCCAATAATCATATCTAAAAAATAAATAGATAGATTAAATATATCAGTCTATCAAGGTGCATCAATCAATAAACACCATGTAAGATAAAATCAATAGATTTGAAACATGATATGGTTCATAGGACGTAATAGTTTAAGAGAATGTGAATTACAATTATTTTTTAAGATATGAAAAAGAAAACTACTGTATAATTGGGTGAGGTGATACACTGGTGGTTGGAGGTAGTCAACAGGAAACCCTGAACCCGGGTTTCGTGCTACTTGGCACTCGTTAGCAAGGTGTACATTTACTCTTGAGGGAACTTGCGCTCCCTGCACTAGGAAGGATTTGACACACATGACATTGATCACCATCCAGTGATCAATCAATTGTGAGGTGATACACTAGAACAAGGTTCTTTCGCTACGAAAAGAAATACTGCAAATCAATCTGAAGTTTGAGAGTGCTTAGAAATAAATACTACAATTAATAATAGTAGTATGCGATAACTAAATAAACTGCTCAATTTGAATATGATATTTAAAAAATTCAAAATGGATTATTTCCATCTTTTAAGTTGCCAGCACACAGAAGAACATAAAATTAAAACAAAAATCTAAGAAATCATCTTCGCATGCAGAAAAAGAAAACAAAGTGTAATTAATGCTGGAATAACAATATAATTACTTAAGAGTTATAAAATGATAAAGTCAATAATTCACTTATAACGATAAAATTCATCATGTCAATATCTTTGAACCACTTTGATTTGTATCATTACCATAAAATAGTAAACATAATAGATATTTTTGTAAGTAATGGTGGATGGTGGATAGAAGTGGAATCCAGGACGCGCGTTTCGTCCTTTTGGACTCGTCAGATGGATGTACCTGCATTTCAGAGTTGATGTTCACTCTGGGACTCGAACCCAATACCATTCGCTTCAAATGCTATCACGTTATCCACTCAGCTACTGAGTCCTGATAGCCACTTGCTTGTAGAATTGGGCGAATTTAAATTCACTTGGTATTGTTTGGCTTGTATCTTCCTATTGAGGTCTAAGACTGCAATTGATCAGTCTCTTATTGGCATATGTGCATACTGTACGTATGCCTCGATATTGCCTTAATTCACAAGCTTTTTTGTAAACAATGATGGATAGTGGCTAGCAGTGGAATCCAGGACGCGCATTTCATCCTATTTGGATAACGCGATGGCGTTTGAAGCGAACGGTACTGGGTTCGAGTCCCAGAGTGAACATCAACTCTGAGATGCAGGCTTATCGACCTGACGAGTCCCAAATAGGACGAAACGCGCGTCCTGGATTCCACTGCTAGCCACTATCCATCTTGCTTACAAAAAAGCTTGTGAATTAAGGCAATATCGAGGCATACGTACAGTATGCACATATGCCAATAAGAGACTGATCAATTGCAGTCTTAAACCTCAATGGGAAGATACAAGCCAAACAATACCAAGTGAATAATGGATATTGTCAATCATTACGTAATAATTTATCTGTTTTGGACATATATTGAAAACATTTATCAATCTATAGAAACAAACTAGTTCAAACAGATAAAATATAAATGTATAATATTCCAAATGAAAATGGTTGATTTGTATATTAATCGGTAAAAATGAAAATAGGTGTTTATAACATTTGAAGATGATTGGATTCTATCAAGATTTGATAGTCAATCAAAAGAGTAGGTGACACTATAACTTATGGAAGAACTTTGAGAGATGCTGAAGTAAAGGTTATAAACAAGTGTAAAGAATTAAAATTAGGATTTACAATTGGACATTAGTGTTAGGCATTAGGTATCCATCACGAACTGACATCAGCTATAATGTCAAAATGCTAATTAGCCAAATGAATGAATGAATTTCGGGCCAAAATCTAACGGCTGCTATATCAAATCTGATTGGTTCGTCCATAAATTATAGTCTACTTAAAAAGTGCAGTTATTAACAAGTTTTGAAGAGAGGAGACAAAATGAAGGCAGAGAGAACTTACGCATCATATAAAGCCATATCTGTAGCACAACGTTTATCAGCATATCGTGTCCAATCTGTGCCATGACGACAAGTAGTTAACATAATTATATCTTTTCCGTTGTGTAAATGAGAAAGTATATCACGTGATGCTGATCCAATCCCACTGACATAACGTTTACCCTATAAGACCAAAAAAATAAGTGCTCAATCTTTTGTTAGAAGTGTACATGTTTGAATAGATTAACAATATTCAAGTATTGTTAATTTTTATCCTTCACTTAGTCAAATTATAATCTTACAATAGTTAACATAGTGAAATATCCCAGGTAAAAATGTCTGCCAACACACCAAAATTGTGAATAATTGTGAACTAAATATTCTGAAGAGTCAACAATATAAATTTGATTTTATTATTTTGACGAATAAAGAGTTTTGAGAGTGATTTACACAATAGGAATCCTAAATGGTATGACACAATTATTTTTAATTAAATAAATTAATAGTAACTAGATGAGATTGAGAAAAGGAATATGAATATTTATTACGTATTTTCTGAAATTATAATGGAAACCTTAGACTTGCGGTTGTTAATCAAGTCATTAGACAAGTAGTAATTCACATTTAATGAACTGGAATAAATAGTGAAATGATTAGAGCTGGAAATAAAACCTAGTTGATCCCGAATTGTGTCCTAATGATTTCTTATTTGTCGTAAGATCTGAATATGATTTTTTGTTGTGTGTATACTGTTGAAAAGTCCCGAATTCAGATGAAAAATTGCTCAGTGCCACTTAGTCTCTAATAGTTCCGTAACTTATCTCAGGCTATAACGAGAATTGCAAATATGAATATGAACATTACATATAGAAAAAAACTACCTTAAAACTTAAAAGATATGGTAGATCAAGTCGACCACGTAAATGTTCACTGCTCACTAATTGATCCAACTGACTTGACCCTGATTGTAAAGGATGTTGAGAGTGAATAAGTGGTAAAGAAATATCAAATTTTGGACGAAAATATTTAGTCGAAAAGCTGGCTTTAGCTAGCATGGCTTGGCCAAGCCATAAACGATATTCATCTTCGTGATAATATGGCCAAGTGCCTGCATGTAAATTAAATATTAAGTGATTACGACCAGCATATTCTGATGGCTTTTGAGTAGTAGTTGAGAGTGAATCAGCTTTTATAGAAATATTGAAAAAGGAAAAATAAATATAGGAGTGTATAAGGTTTCTTTAATTTCGAAAAAAATTTACGTTGACAAGTACTACTATTATTGTGATACGCTGTGGCATATATAGCAAAAATTAGAAATATTCATTGTTATAGCATAGGAGAAATTGGTCATTGGTCTGCTATGACTAACGAAATTTAGTCGTATGCAAATAAACATATAATTTATGAACGCGGAGTGTTCAACTACTTTACACTGGTCATACTAAACATCAATATATACGAGTTTTGAAGTGACACTTAGGATAAATGTGTGTGGAACCCAAAACAAACATTCTCGAACTTTTAATTTCGTACATATATTCGACTGAATTAAAATTTTTGGACTTGTTGAATACTAACTTTTGGAAACTTGTAACCGTCGTTCCCAAGGATTATAGGATTTTCTCAGCTGTAACTGGTAGCTTATTTGTACCGCAATGGGTGGAACTAAACACATTCAATAAAAGTTCAAATAAATTACAAATGATTATAAACTGAAACCCCTAGTGGAGAATTCCATTTATAGCATGTATCTTAACAAAGGTAACTCAACAAATAAGAAACAGTTCAGTTGTTAAGCTCAAGGATATCATTAGAAATATTATTGATATGACCACGGTGAACTAAGTATAGTTGAGTTTCGAGACCACAGCTTCAAATTCGACACTAACATGTTTAAACTAACGAATCATTTGGAATGTGACCCTATTAGGAATGCTCATGTTATTTTTTATCAGTGATTTACATAAAAAGTTAACTAAGTTTATAAAAAGATCTACATGCTTCTAAAAATGTTAAACTTACGATCAAGATCTCGTCTAGGCAACGAATTCCAAAATGGTAAATTAACGAGTTCATGAGCTATATACTGACCGAAATGTGGGCTTAAACGATCTCGATCTAGAGTATCCAAGCTAGGAATAAATATACAAGCTTCATACGGGTCTGATGTGAGAAGTTTTGAATTATGCAAAGCGGTGAGGATTTTTGATAGGTTAAAGATAGATTGGCTTGTTTTGACGAGAGAGGATATACGTAAACCTGTGAAGTGAATTGTTTTAATAAGTGCCGAATCAAATGAGCGGGCATTAAATAAAGTAAATTGTGGATACGTTAAGAAGACAATTATCAAAAGGGATGTGGTAATAAACCAAACAAAATTTTCTGATGCTTGTGGACATGGCATTGCGAACAACTAGGTAACGACAAATATCCCCTTTTGAGTTAATCTGGGAATATTATGCAAATAATATGAGATGGTACCCAAAACAGGTTTTAAATAAAACACCAGTTCAGGTAGTAAACAGAGAAAGTACATTTTTATTTATGAGAATATACCAAAATGCCATCGCATGTGTTGGGAAACGATAATGATTTTGTTTCTTGATATCAAACCTGGAGTCCGCTTGTTGCACAAAACTGTGCTGCATTTTCTAGGTTGTGATATTTTTGAAGTCTTTCGAGAATCGTATAAATAACTGTTATATTCGAAGAATAAATGAATGGTAACTTCCAGGAATTTTTAGTGGACTATCCCGATGGGAGACCTAAACGCAAAAGTATGGGTGGACAACATCGGGTATGAAGATATCATGGGACGACATCGACTGGCGGGGAGAAGGGAACGAGAATGGTGACATATTTACAAATTGATGTGCATTCAACAAAATGGTTATAGATGGCACCATATTCCCCAACAAACGCATACACAAAGCTACATAGTTCTCACTGGATCACACTACACAGAATCAGATCGATCATATTTGCATCACTAAAAATTTCAGAAGGTCAATGAACGACATGAGAATAAAGAGAGGAGCTGATACAGCGTTAAACCATCACCTAGTGAATGCCAAGATGAAACTGAAGCTAAAGAAGCACTGGACAACTGGACAAACAGCACTACAAAAGTTTAATACAACCTTACTTCGACTTACTACCAACCTCAACCAATTCAAGTTAGCTCTCAACAACACGTTCCAAGCCCCACAAGATCTACCTAAAGAAGAAGGAACTACAAGATGATAACTGGAAAGGGGTCAAAGAAGCACTAACTTTAACATGTCAAAAGATGCTGTGCCAAAACAAGCATCATCCAAAGGAATGGATCTCTATCAAAGTCCTGTTTTGGATTCAATAAAGTAAGAATAAGAAAACTGCAATTAGCAACAGCCGAACAAGAGCAGAGAAAGTCAAGTCACAACTGAATACACAGCAGCAAATAAGAGAGTGAAGTGGAGCATTAGAGCTGTCAAGCAGAAATAAATGGAACACCTAGAAATGAGATTGGAAGAAGCTCCAAGAGAAGGAAACATCAGACAATTATATGACACAACAAAGAAACTAATAGGGAAATATAGTAAACCACAGCAATCAGTCAAGAACAAAAAAGGCAAGCCAATCACTGAGATTTAAGAACAGCAGAACGGATGGGTGGAACACTTTGAAGAACTCCTGAATAAGCCAGATCCACTGAACCCACCAGACATTGAAGCAGCACGCGCAGACCTTTTAGTGACCCTGGAATATCTGACTCAAATTAGATCAGATGAATGATTGTTATCGCAATATACGTATCGTCAATTCTCGTATATAATCATCGACTTAAATCACGTTAGTTAATAACGGAAATAAATAAGACAAATACGAGAATAGATTTCGAATACTTATATTTTGTACACTCATTGATCTGAACAGAATCGGGGAGACGGAGCGAAACGGAATGACACACAGTGGGGAAGGTATGTGAGCCTGTTCGATTTAATCAAGCGTTAATCGATATTTGTAGACAGACAAAAATAAGTTACAGACATGTGATGAGTAAGATAAGAAATGCACACACGTATGCCCACATAAAAACAGTTAATGTTGATAAGCAAACAATTAACAAGGTCAAAATGTAACTTAAGAAAAATGGATGAATTGGCTTGTCCAGAAGCTAGAATAAGCTATGTGGGTTCGACATAGGATTAGCCATTACAACCTTCCTGTAGATGTCACTCCACTGACTACCGAAGAAATCAGGATGGCCATCAAACAAAACAACCTACTCTCACCCTATTTCTTATCGTGGTCGACTGGATTATGAAAAGCTCCACAACTCATGGCAAGCACGAAACACAATGGACAGCTTGCATGCAACTAGACGATTCGGACTTTGCAGATCACCCAGCTCTTCTGTCCCATACACATCAAAGAATACAGACGAAGACAGCCAGTGCAGCAGTAGGCCTCAACATACACAAGGGAAAAGCAAGATCCTCAAATACAACACGGAGAACACCAATCCAATCACACTTGATGGAGACTCTGGAACACGTGGAAAAATTCACGTACCTGGAAAGCATCATCAATGAACAAGGAGGATTGAATTCAGACGTAAAGGGGAGGATTGGCAAAGTAAAGACCGCATTCCTGCAATCGAAGAACAAATGGAAATCAAAACAACCGTCAACCAATATCAAAGTCAGAACCTTTAATATGAACGTCAAAACAGTCAGTTTTACTGTACGAAGCCGAAACGTGGGGAACTACTACAACCATCATCAAAACAGTACAGGTATTTAATAAAAATTGTCTACACAAAATACTCAATGTTCGTTGATCGGATAACATCAGCAACAACCTACTGTGGGAGAAAAGAAACCAACTCCCAACTGAAGAGAAAATTAGGAAAAGACGATGGAAGTGGATAGGACATATATCGTGGAAATCACCAAACTGCATCACGAAGCAAGCGCTGACTTGGAATCTTGAATGGAAACGGAAAAGAGAAAGACCAAAGAGCACACTACGCAGGGAATTTGAAGCAGAGATCAAAAGAATGAATAGCAACTGGAAGGTACTGTTCAGGACAGAGTTTGACGGAGAATCCTGGTGGGTGGCCTATGCTCTTCTACGAGAGGTAACAGGAGTGAGTAAGTAATCATTATACACATTCTTATTGCATGATTATTGAGTAACTAGATTATATGTGTTTATATTCCTTTTATCATAAGCTTTTGTTTGACCCATCAACTATTATTATGCGATTTACTATTCTTAATTTATTCTTAATCCATTATTTATAGTCTCCCCTACTCACAGCTACTTTTGGTTTGGTCTTGTATAATAGTTATTTTTCATGTTATGGTGTGAGGGTTTCTAGTACGCTTGTATATAAACTAAATATTTCTGAAGTATAATATACATATAGTGGAGGCAAATATTGTTTTCTGGACTCAACGAACAGGGTAAGGTGAAGAGCAACTACGTTGAGGACCAATAAGGATTCAAAGTTGACTCAAGGCTGCTAGTGCTGGTTGACGTTGTCATTGGTTTAGTACAGAGACAAGGTCATGGAAGTCGGTATTATGGTTGGCGTGATATTGGACAGGGTCATAAGTCATAAGTAAGCCATAAGGAAGGGCAACTACATAACTCCATTATTCAAAACCGCAAACGAGTTTATATACGGTTGTACGTTATCATCACTGCCCATCACTTTTCCTATGACACTTTTGAAACAGTTCTGAAGTATGTGATGACCATCCAGACCGATCGTTCAGAAGACTTTTAATATTGACCCCGTATCATTGTATAACAATGGACAATCTACTACAATCGCAATTAATCAGCTGGAAATAAGCTTCGTCTGATCGCATTTAACAACAAAACAAGTATACTTGAGATGCGTTTTCCTCCCTTTAAATCGAAAATGTTTCTTCAGGATTGGTCCGTGTCAATACTTGGACAAATAATAAGGAGTAAAGTAAAATGCGTTGACAACTTCATCTGATCAGCCCTGGTGGGTTGGTGTCTGACGAAATCTAAGCACGAATTCAAAAAGCTCAGTCGGACTTCCTTAACTCGTCACTGGGTGTACACTGTCCATCAGATTACCCTGTATTACTTTGTGCTATGAAAATTGTCTTTTGAAGTGGAGGACATATGTAGACTGAAGATTTTTGATCGCCGGTGTCTTTGAAGCATTACTTGCGTTTCGTGGAATGACCATGTGAGCGAAATTGGGATAGGGCTTAAGGTTTTTGTGACCCGTTGATCTAACTCCCCTTTGAACGAACGTATAGAAGTATTTATATGCCATGAACATAAACCTAACATTTAACTCCGTATATTACCTAGGCTAATATGAAGCTAGATATAGTTGGGTTGAATGCATTTATTTCAGACACTCGTTTATCCACACAGACAATAAAAGAAACGAGGAGGGGAAGGCGAGTGAGCCAACTCATTTTGATAAAAGGACACTCAACATTTAGAGTCAGACAAAAACAGGTTACAGACACGCGATGAATATGGTAAGCAATACACATATGCTGTCAAATAAAGACAGTCAAGGTTAATAAGTGAATAATTAACAAGATCAAAATGTAACTTAAGAACAATAAATGAACTGGTTTATCCGGAAGCTGGAATAACCCATGTAAGCTTAACATAGTACTGAACACTACAAGGGTATTAGGAAACGATAGTAGACCGGTTAGTGAGGTTACGTTCTCATCGACTGAGATGTTTAGGATATATATTACGTATGTCTAACTATCGTCTACGTCGATGGACGATCTTGGTTGGTGTAGGAGTGGGTCGAACGAAAGCTATAGGCGACCAAAGCAAAACGTTTCACAAGTTCGTGAAGTTATTGACTGTGGATTTGAGCCATGTTAGTAGATGCAGACCACCCAATTGGAGTCTGTGTGATGGTCGCAACTAGTGGCTGAAGACTTTGGGTGACATGGCTGAGAACCCTTCACAATAGCACAGTTGAATTCTCTCTTTATCTTGAACTCCAGTACACGTTGATACATACCTTTTCAATCCTTCCTTTCGAGCTATATTTTGAATGGTCAATCTTTTCCATTATTAATGCTACCACATTATTCCGATCTCTTTTGCTATATATATCGTTACTTTTACCTCGTCGTAGCAACGTGACACGGAGACTTGAGGCAACACACATTTTTACAACGCTCCACGTTGATGACGACTAACTGAATAAAATTCTACTTCAGTTGCAATGAACGAGGTTGCTTCTACTCTCTTCCTCCGTTGCCTCTAGTTAGAGATAGAAGTTTAAGCTTGTCTAGAAGCTCAAACGATAGAGACCCAAGCAGAATGAACTCTTATTTGAGCGCATTCGATTACAAACCAATTACATTCAGTGATTAGTAAAAGAAATAATTAAACTGAACAATATTCACAAGAATTTAATATAGCTAAATATTATACTGAGCAAAATGCAAGTGAACGAAAGGCTACGTTGGATTAATTGATACAAATTAATGTCGTAAAAAGCGAAAACTACTGGATTAATTCAAAAATCAAGTGAACAAAACTTGCACTGGGTTTATGGAAAAGTCAACTACATAAAAATTATATTTCAGCCAATGCAAAATCTCCTATTTCTACGGTATAATTGGAGACTTAGCATCCACAACAGTTAGCTTTTGTGAACACAGATGAAGATGTGGCAAACGAAAGTAGTTCTCATATGACAGATCATAAGCCATGTTTGTGTCACTACGGTAATAGCCTGTTAATAAAAAGAGCAGGCATGTAACGCTTCAATCCATTCTACTTTGCTTCACCCTGACCTCTTCGAGTTGACGATTTTTGATCATCATCACTGTACAACGGCTTTCACTTGATAAAAGTACTGTGCACGTGAATTCGATCTAATGCTGTATGTTTCTTGGAATAGTGCATTAACTTTGGTGGTGTAATCCCAGAACACTGGCCTGTTAACGTAAACATACTTATTTCATCTCAGTTCCCATCCTGGGAATAATTGTAATAAGGTTAAGTGGTCAGTAAATTACGTAGTGTATTAGTATGGAAAGTGTAATGTCTGGTTGGTATTTGTTTAAGTACTAAGACTCTGTGTATAGGGTTCTACAGAATACGTGACTCAGTGATTTGAGATTTCGACAGGAGTTAATCAAAATCGAAGACAAGAGAATTCTTGATACTGTTTTCTGTAAAATCAAAAGGCAACAGCAAAAGCCGTTCTAAAATTGTCTTATGTAAATGCTCTCACTTGTTAAATATTCTTCAATCCATTTAATGTGTGACTTGCTGAAAATGTTGTCATACTGTTCTATGTAATCTATTTTTTGATGACTCTACAGTACAAAGTTTTTGCTCAGAAGACTTAGAAAATAACGAACAAAAACGCTTTGGGTCTAAGAGCTTGAAAATATACCAGCGATCACAGGAACAGGGTTGCATGCCGAAAAATAAACGTGCATTGAAATTTAACTATGTTTTCCTTAATTAATGCGTGATTTAACATAAGACAGAATCGGAAAGTAGTGATATGAAGTAGCATTACAATAAATAAATAAGTTTTAACCCTTCAGACAAATTTAAAATAACGGACACTATACTGTCTAGGTGCAAGACATAAATGATTAAAACTGTATACTAACAAGATAACGTTAGAATATATAGAAGTATGATTATAAAAATTAAACATTGTGCTTCCACTCACCTTAAATTCCGATTGACACAGTGTGTAATCGAAGCAGTTATCCATACGGCACGCCTCTTTAATACTTATATCATGTGAGAACTTTACATGAGTCTTCTTATACAAAAAGTTTAACCATTGGTTTTCAGGAAGAACGTTCTCAACATGAACAGACACCTTCTTAATGCTATTTTTGACGTAAATTTCTTGGTTGTATAAGTTAAAAAGACAGAAAAATATTGTATTTGCGAGAAATGACGCCAGAAGAGCCGATAAGGTGAATAAGAACACCCAACGTTGCCAAGTACTCATGAAAATTGAATAACAGTTTATTGAATTTAATAGTTTATTTTCTGATCATACAGCAACTGCTAGTGAAGTTCATATCGTTTACTGGTTATCATTTGAATTAGAGAAAATACACTGGCCAAGATGTTTATCTAAAAACTGAAATGATCATCAATACTCAAAGAGATGCGAAATATCATACAAATATAATGCATAAAATCCTCATTCATTTCTATTCATATTTCCTACTCCCTTGTGCATGGAAACATAAACTTTGGTAGAACAAATGTTCCACCAAGGCTAAGGCTTTAGTGGTCTCAAATAGACCATAATGATATGTGTATTTAGTAGTTTGTAAGTATAAAATAAAGACCATATCTTTGATTTGATTGTAGAACGTATATTCAGTAAGATAAAGGTTAGGTATTCACTCTAACGCAATATAGCACTTTCGAGAGAGGACTATAGCCGATTTTTAGCAGTTAAACACTTAAACCATCTACTTAAGGGCGGAGATTCCGTGATAGTTACAGATCACAAGCCTTTGATATATGCCTATAACGCTAAAATTGATCATTATTTCCCTAGAGAAGCGCAAAAATTAGATATTTCTCAGTCTTCGACTAATATTCAGTTCATAAAAAGTGGATGGAATGTTGTTGCAGATGTATAATCACGCCGGAACGTGGGTGCTATCATCTTGAACAGAGGAACCGAACATACTGAGTTTAGTGGCTCACAATACTGATCTCGCCGCCTGTAAGCAAAATTTAATTTTAATATTCAGCAGTATTCCATTGCCGCATCTTGAATTTACAGTAATGTGTGACATCTCAACTAGATCAAACAGGCCATTTTCACCAACACCTCATAGAAAACATGTCTTTGACCATCATCTCACCCCCGTATTTGTGCCACCTTGAATTTGATTTCAGGAAGATTTGTATAGACAAAAATAAGGACCCACGTTTTTTAAAAATGACTCAGAACTACTTGGAATATCAACGGAATACGATTTACGAACATACGATCATTAAGAACGCCAAATTCGACCCACTGGAACGACGTTTTCAACATGTTTATATTGATTTGGTCGATTCGTTAGCCCCACCCGATGGTTTCATGTTTTCACAGAAGTCAATCATTTTACCAGGCGGTCAAACGTATATTCTGCAAACAACATCTTAGCCGAAAACATAGCTACCATATTTCTAGACAGACGGGTCTCTAATTTCGGCAGACCTTCTACAATTACTTTTGATAGAAGTCTTCAGTTTAAATAGGGTGCCCACTAGATCAGTAAGATAACATGCCAACCAGCAGCCAACTAACAGGTAAAGTCATTCTACAGACAATTTAAAAGTTCACTGATGGGGCAACTTCGTGTAACTAGATGGAGCGAATACCTAACCTTGATTTTACTGAATATATGTCTGTCAAAAAGTTGCGCCGGCCCGTCCTAATTTATGGAAGACAGATAAAGGCAACCAACTCCGCAGCATCGGCTGAAAACGGAGAAATTGATTCAAGGGCATCAGTACAAGAGGCATGGACTCTTTTCAGGCAGTTATACAATCGGGTAACTCAACCATACATACCCTGGACAGTTCCAAAGAAGAAGAACAAGAAGAAGAAGCACGACCATCCCTGGATGGGCCGGGATATTCGACGTCTACTAAGACAAAAAAAGAAATGTTGGGATGTTGCCATCCGCCTTGGTACAGCAGGTACGATGGAACGCTACAGATCGGTAAGAAACAAGTGTATAACGAAATTCGGGAATCTCAAAGAAAATATGAAATGCAGTTGGCACAACCTGAACTCAAGCAGCCCAAGAGAATATTCTCGTACATAAACTACATAACAATATCCCGGCCCATCCAGGGATGGTCGTGCTTCTTCTTCTTGTTCTTCTTCTTTGGAACTGTCCAGGGTATGTATGGTTGAGTTACCCGATTGTATAACTGCCTGAAAAGAGTCCATGCCTCTTGTACTGATGCCCTTGAATCAATTTCTCCGTTTTCAGCCGATGCTGCGGAGTTGGTTGCCTTTATATCTGTCTTCCATAAATTAGGACGGGCCGGCGTAACTGTTTGACAGGAAATCTCAGTCATGAATTTGAATAAGATGACTGCATGGTCACTTCTCACAAGTGGTGGGAGAAAATTCATTTGACCAACGTCATCAACTTGTGTGAAGACTAAATCTAAAATAGAAGAAGAGTTTCTTAAGTCATATTTTGTGGGGTTTCTGATGTGTTGGAATAAAGCTAATCCAATCGAGTCTTCTTATAGTTTGCAATCGAACGACGTTATCGATGACCCTACTTCTAAGTTAACCTAGTTCATATGCTGTGTATTAAAGTCGCCTACTACAAGACTTTTACCCTTGTTAAACCAGGACTTAAGTTTACTTAAGAGAAAATCATCTACTACACAATCTGGACTGCGATATACTACAACTAATTCAATATCTTGCCATCTACATTTCGGCTTACATCTCGCCAGTTCACATGTCCCTGAGCCTCTCTTATGGTTAGGGTACCATTCGTGCACAGGATAACCCCGCCTCCCCTACTGTTTAATCTATCAGTCCTACTGGTTAAAATACTAGTCAACTAAACTCCAATATCTGATACATCTGACGTTAACTAAGTTGACTCGTTTAACAGAAGGCTGGACACTCATAGAAGCATACTAAGAAAGGAATAGCGTAGGCCGTAGGTCTTCTGTCCTTACTACACAAATCTGAATCTGGAATCTACAATCGAATGAAAGACACGGTATTTATTTTGTGTCTACAAGATTTATTAAATACACATACCATCAGAAGCCACAATCATGATTAAACATGACGATCTTCACAACTCAACCCTGTTTTGGGGATATACTCAGATCTGAGGAAATTTCGGGGTTTTTGCGTCATTTCCTCAGAATTTTCTATTAAGGCGTCCCCAGAGTACGGAGATTGGGATCGATGTTCCAAAGTATATTTTAAAAAAAAACGAGGAAGTAACTCCACTAAAATCAAGAGAATGAAGGAGTCTCTAATAGTAACGATGAGCCAGAAGATATGAAATTAAGGAGAAAATATGCATTAGCTAACACACCTGGCGAATGATGTGAGGATAATTTTTCAGCAGAATTAGTGTCGTTAATTAAGAATAAACGGAAAGAAGCGATCAGAATAATGAAATGGCTGGACGTAGGAAGAATGGCAAAGTATCTGTCAGGGTTGTGAAACAAGTCTCCTCGACCCTTTACAAGCCGCCACAGCCACGACCTTCAGACGTAAAACCAAACATTGCGACAATCTGTAGGTCAATAATTGCTTCATTTAAAAGAGTGATTCGGAAAAACGCTACTTTTACTCCGATAATCTTTCATAAACAAGTGATGTACTACCGAATTCGTCAAGGTATACTGATGAAAACTGTTGGCGAATGTGTGTAGATATGCATGACAAGCTTATTTTGTAAATAGTTTTTGATGTTATTTGTACTTACTCTGTTAGTTTTTCATAGCCTGTACATTTATCGATAATTAATTGTACGTGTTATTTGAGTGTATGACCTAGAACACACTTTCTTCCAGTGTGTTATTCTCATAGCATGACACACGCTGCTACCTACTAACAAATACACTGTTACACACATACCTCTTGTTCTCCATTCGCTCGTCATTGTGTTAACTGAACTGAAGATTTGAAATTGTTTTCTTTAGTTACCCTGACTTCGTTTTGTTTCACAGCCAAACCTTCCTCAACGAGCAGGTTAGGTGCCGATATGAATTTTTTAGCTGTGGTACAGTGTTTTGAGAAAATATATGTAGACTTGTAGAATTATGGTCTACTATGATATTAGTACTGCTCTAATAATAACCTAACCCTAAAATTGTAGATTTGTCATGATACAACTGCCTAATCTATAAGGTCTTACGTGGAAGTCACATCATCGTCTACACCAACTCACTGCATTGTAACAACTACCAATACATGATGAACAACAAGCTTAGGCTAGAGAAAGAACAATATATTTAATATGAATAAAGATATAGGGTAATATTCAGCGGGGACCGGACCTGCATGGCCGAGCCATGCCATTCGATCAACTCGGCAAGGTAAAAACGGTAATCCCTTTCAAATCTGTCCGCCGTTTCGTTTCAACGACCTTGAACGCGCTGACTGGAAGCGGGCATTCCGTATTTCAATTGCCGTGTGTGTGTTGGGTCCTATGAGTATTAAATGTTTCCATATATAAGTCATCTTTTGATGCATAATAAACACTAAATAACTGCTAAGAGCATTAACTGAGTATTTTCTGTTTTGTAGTGCACACTTTAGCTCTGTTATTCCTTCGAAACTTGATCTGTGGTCCTAAGTGCTGTAGTGAAAGTCAACAGCTATATATAATTTGTTGATAAGGTCCAGAAAACAACGTAAGAAAGATAAAATAACGTAAAAGGTTATAGATGCGCATAGTTTTTGTGAGTTAAGACGAAATGTCAACTGAAGGGTAAGTCCTAAATATTTGTTGTTCTTCCTTCAGTTAATTTTTTTCAAGGAATAACCTTTTTTTAATAACTATTGTATGTTGTCTCTAGTGCTTCATGCTCAAGTGAAATTTCAGTGAACGTAAGCGACGCGTTCCAACGTATTATGCTGAACAAGAGATTCGGAAGCTGGATTGAATTAGATAATGCGCTAAAGGATTTCCATAAAGTATGATGGGATAAATCTATGTTTTCTCAGATGACCCATACACACTATGTTCACGCAGA